CTGAGAACAGGGGGTGGGAGGAGGCGGTTCCAAATGTAGCGCGTCACCCACGATCCCACCCCACAATGAATGTCAACAAAATACTGGCTATAACACTTCGCGTCCCGGTAGAACATAGGTGGTATTGCCTATATAGTTGTTCGCCGATCGTTATCTCGTAGGAAAGCAGTTTTATTCAGGTTGACATAAAGTTCATGTCATATTATGATTGTTATTGAATTTTCTTATTAAATTTTTGTGAACCTTTGGCGCAGTGGCTATAACACTGGGCAACCTGAAGGGTGGGGGGGGGGGCAGGGGCAGATCCAAGGGGGAGGGGGGTCTCAGCTACATAATTTCTTTTGTAAATCAACACTTTTTATGAGAAAAATTTCTCGGTCGTGTGCTTTATCCTTTATCGTCAGATGTGGGACAGGATGGGCACTCAAAGCACGAGATAATGATATAGACATTATGTGATATCACAATTAATGCTTTCAATCCATGAAATTGAATCACAATGTCATTGTATCAATTCATAATTCAAACGAGGTGTTAAATTTCTCTGTTTAAAAAGCTCAATGTGTATGTATATACGCCAAAATGACGATAGAGACCATGTGGGAGGGGAAGATGCATTGTCTCAGGAACCTGGTAAACCCCCTCCTGCAAAAATTCCTGGATCCGCCCCTGGGGTCGGGGGGTTCTCCCTTGAGAAATCTGGCATTTGTGGTCATTGCTGGGGGGAGCAAATTCTTGTGAACGAGAGGACCAGAAATGGGAGTCAATGGGACAGAATCTGGAGATTCTGCCTGTCAAGTTCGCCTGTTTTGTAAGAGTTGACAGAACATTTGTACAGTCTGTCGTCCACACGACCCGCACACTAGTGGTACAACTACCTGGGCGATTCACTGTAAACGCGAATATGATGTGATGAGACAGTATAGGACACAGGAGTGGAAGAATGATGACATCATGGAATCGAGCCTGTATACAATGTATAATAGAGAAACTCAATCATGCTAGAAGAGTACGCGATTCCCTGGGGAAAAAAATAAAAAAAGGGGTGCGCACAGAGCAAAAATGTAAGGGTATCACTACTGGCATCCAGCTGGCTTCTTGTGTTCTAAAGTGACGTATACTTAGGGAGCACTTGATGGAATGGCAGAGACTTAAACGTGACACAGGCTGTGATTTAACGTGGGGATTGGCAGATGACAATGGACAGTGAGTAACGACAAATACAAGCCATTATGGACCCTCCCCCATCAAGTCAATGACAAACAAGGATGCCAACAATAGATTACTACGGCTTGGGGTAGTTTCTTGCTATAAAATGTTTTGAGAGGGACCTGGTGTAAACTTTTGATAATTAAATTAGATTAGATATGTTTTCAGTCTAAATATATCATCAAATCACACAGTTTATAAGGTGAAAGGCATCTTTAAATCTTCATTATCATTGAGTCACGCCTGCATTGAATTAATTGAATGACATTCGTCTGTTTGTATAAAGGATTAAGCGTAACATGATATTTTATTCACTTTAACAGTCTAGAATGTCACGAGAAATAACCTGAGTGAGTTAATAACGGAACTTGTAATCACCTTCCACACCCGACCCTCACATATAGATACATTATAATCCTCACAATACCTTAACTATTAGAAGTGTTGCATAATGGTGTTTTGGCAAGTGTCATGAAAGAAATGAAAATGGTGCCTCTCTGTACTAACGATACTAAACTGTGAAATAAAATTCGAAATGCGACAAAACTTACATGTATACTGTAATTAAAATATCGCTTTGCTACATCATCACATGAAAGGACCAAAATATCAAAATATTATATGTATTTACCATTATTTATTACAAACATGTATTTAATTAATTTATCACGTAGATATATCTTGAAAGCAATCATTCACCATACCCCCCCCCCCCCCGTCTCAAGGGGGAACCACGCCGGAAAATCTGGATGAACTTTCTCTGCCAATGCAGGGATCCATAACCCGACCTCCAGGCTAGCGAGCCAGCTTCTTACCTACTTAGCCACGTGATTCCCATACATCGAGAGAGAGAGAAAGAAAGAGAGAGAGAGAGAGAGATGGTGTTTAACGTCCACGCGACACAAGCTAAGTCATTTCGGGACTAACATATGGCTCAATTTTATTTCAATAATTCGCTTGCGCGTAGGGTCTTTAGCAGTGGGAGGAACCTGGAGGACTCGGAGAAAACCCATGAGGTTGTTGGACAGGCAAACATACTCCATGGCACGTACAACCGGGAAATCGAAACCACACCAGTTGACGTGCTAACCATTCGGCCATCCAACCCCCCAAACAACATCGAACGTGATATGGTTTACAAATACTATTTCAAATATAAGCTAAACAGCATTTGCTAATTTTTATTTAAAGCAAGTGCAGGATTTGGAGAATTTTATTTGATTTTTTTGTTACAATTGAGCAAATTAATATTTATATTGTACGGTCTATATTAACACAGGGTACAATTTTATGGATACACAATTACTGAGTTTAATACTTAAAGCGAGGTTTCGACAGGATACACTCGTCTTTATCAAGCCCTTCTCTCTCTCTCTCTCTCTCTCTCTCTGCTGTTCCACCTTTCTTCTGGGGCCAGGCGATTATTCAGTCAAAGGGTGATGTGGGACTCAAGCTATGCACCCCCCCCCCTCACAAGTTCCAAATATAGTTATGACCAGCGATTTGATTATAAAACAAGGGCAATCAGAATCCATTACCAATATACATCCATACAGAAGATCAATAACTGTAACATAGAACTATAATCCATATACATGTCCGACAATGTTGAAAATCAATAAGAGTAACACAGGACACTAATAACAAATGTACATAATAATTATATAGTCATAATGATTATCTACAACACAATGGTAAAGGGGTGGATAATAGCTATTTATGATAGAGCAGCCGGGTTAATCAAACTGTTAGGAACAGTTATAGATCTAAAATGATTTAGTGTTATAAGGGCGTTACTGGTGCATTATTGCTTTTCTAATTGTTCCAGATGCATTCTAGGAAGGGGAAGTGGGACTTTGAAAAACTTATTGTGAATGGTGCTTTCTAGAGTTTATCCTCAGTACCAAACTTCCCCTGACGGCTTTGCTTACCAATGCATCCCAATCGACGTACATTCAAGACTAAAATCGTCCCAAAACTACGTGAGAATTGATCAGTGTAAACGTAACATTGATTTGATCTCTAGTTTTGCGCATCATTGTCCAGCGTTTAAAAATAAAACGCGAAAGTGTGAGTAAAGTTACTTCGATATCCACACGCTTGCCTGGCCTTTCTCACATTAATAAATCGACCGCGAGACTTGACTAAGAAATGGAAGAAGGATGAAAAACTGTCATAATTCGTCATTCTATTATATAGAGACACTGACAACTCAATACGTTAACTTTTTTTCTCTCCGTGGCTCACAGCTGTAATAAAAAAGGAGATGAAATGAGGTTTCACGTCCCACTGTTCTGGACCAGTGAGTGAGGCACTGGCTCGCTAACCAGGATATTGTGGGTCCAATCCCGATGTTGACCGATAAAGTTCTTCTGGATTTTCCCTCTTGTCAGTTGCGAAGGACGGGGGCTTGACAAGGAATAGCGTCTTGTAATTTGGATGGTAGCAAAAATCGAGGTCCTGTACGCGTTAGAACCCCCGACCGTTGGAATTCATTATCCCGGTTGATGCAGAAAAGTAGGATGTTAAACCCATTTCATTTCTTTGTTCAATCACGTTCTTGCACGTAATTTGAGTTTTCTTTCTGATAAAGCAAATAATAAGCACATCCTTTCATTTCACTAAAAGTAAATACAGTTCTCAGATAACGGACCATACATAACACATAGATTATAAAGTCGGTGTAGCAATATACTACACCTAATCTTTAACGCATATTCAATGCACATGCAAGACTACCGATCGGACCCCCGCCCCACCACCACCCTCACACCCTCACACACCGGGCACACACTCAAAGAAAATATTAATTTTAACTGATTTGAATATTTAAATTTAATTATTAAAGCAGGGCTTTGGAATCTAAAAAATCCTGCGAGCCTTAATGCTTAGAATGCAATTGTTTTTCGTCTATATGCTGGTATCGTCGTGGGACGAAGCTGAATTGTGTAGAAATAATTAAGACACGGTAATCTGGGGCTATGTACAGTATCTGGGCGCAGGTGACCAATTATCGGGTTTCTGACTATAATAGCATTATGCAACTATATAATAATACCATATCTGTATTACAATACTGTAATTATATAAGAATATGATATCTTAACACTTTATTTTCCAACTGTTATGGAAATTACCAGAACATATATATTTTTAAGTTTTTAAGGACCTGTAAGTAAACTATAGGCCTACACCTGGCTCGGCCGAAACTGTTTTCAGTTTTAATTAATTCGAGGGCCTGTGGTTTTTGACAAGTATATTTGACGAAGCCTGGAAGAAAACTGCCACTGCTAACTACTATAATTTAAGAAAAAAAACACTTCTTTTATGTGAAAACAAGAAAAAATATAGATAATTGGCATATACTCTATAAATGGTTTTGGCGGGAATAATTCTCGACATTCTGTCGGCGAATCCTTCCTAATTAACAGCTATTAACCGGTATTTAAAGTTCAGATGCCGTATCAATTTAATTGACTTTTTTACGATTAGTGTGGCCTATTGATCTTATTTAACTTACATTTAGACACAGATAGCTAATTTACACGCATGGTAAACGTCAGTAATCCTCTCGCATAGACCCCTTTGTTTTTCTTTCGTTCCACGTGTTTATGTGTATCGTAGCAACGAATAGCGTGCTACACCGCCGTTCAAGCCAAAGCCCGACTCCCCCTTTGATTTAGTTTTCTGCTGTGTTGGAGTATTGTAACATGAATATAGATATGTACTACAAAAGAAAGCCTTGAGTCGGCGACAACTTAAAAAAGACTGTGTAGGCGCCTATATAAAGATTTATTATCGGTTCAATAGGTTTGCCATTATTGTTCTCAGGGCATTTTCTCCGAAATATAACCATGTCAATGCCATTATAATTTGTGGAACGTGTGCTGGACTAGAACACCAATTGACCAAGGAAGGAAGAGCAGACGGTATTTCAAATACTGAAAAATGGATGATACCTTGTGTATAGGAGATATTGTGTGTTTATATTCAGAAGAAATTAACGGATTTGTTTTATCCTTTCAAACAAGGTAGGTATAGATCATAGGTCACGTCATGAAAGCCATTGTTTGTTGACCAAATCAGTTCACGCACTCTTCTACTTATAAAAAACTAATCATAGTATCTGTGTAATAATCACATTTATATTCCAGTCTGTCTTGGTTTATGTTTTACGAAATTGTAGAGAATACGTACTTGACAAATTTAAAATTTTTGCCAGGAATTTACAATAAATTTTCATATTACATCTTTAAGAATCAATTTTAGCTTTATAGTTGTTTTTATTAGCAAATAACAGAAATTTTTAATTCAATTCCTTCTAACATTAGCACATTTTTTCTTCCTAGGTCAGATTATAGGACAATATATTAATTTTATTATATTCTCTTTTTAAATAAATTAATGGATAATAAATGGTACTAGTTTAGTGAGATTGCACCACAATTTATTTTATTTAATAGTGGAAATATACGAAGACAAATCTTTATATTATATAATAAGCTTATCACAAGAAAAAGGTCGTCAGATTTGGGTATATAACTTTTTAAACAATTTTCAAGAAATATTGATTTTTTTTTGAAGTGCCTTAAAACACATTACAACAAAAAATTGTAATGGAACAGCACCTACCGATTGAATTCAAAAAACTAAACTGACACAAAATAAGTTATAATCAAACCCTAAACATCAGAATATAAACAGTAAAAGATGCATGTGTTCTATTTATGGTAATAAAATAGAAAAGAATGTAACATGATTCGAGTTATATTTTAAGCTAGAAACTCATAATTTCGGTAAACCTGACATTAATCAATGCAATATAAGTATATCACTGGTCATTGCTTTATATTTAAAAATATCATTCTTGATTAGGCCTGAAAATCCTTTTTTTTAGTACACATGTTATGCTAGTGACCTAACACAATTTTAACATTGTCACTTAACTGAAGGAAATATTTGCTTAAAAAACAAAGTAATGTAAATTTACATGTAGACATCAGTATCTTAAACCATCCCTAGTATTTGTTTGAAAGACATCCTGTTTAAGTATGTGTAGGTGTAACATTAATTAACAGTAAACCCGTTCAGGGTATGCAGTTTGAATTATCTAAAAAATAAGGCATATACGTGTAAATATAAGAATAGGATCCAGATGAATGGGTTTTTTTTTTGAGCAGTAGTAGGACAATAACAAAATATCAACATTTTCATATATTTTTGTTAATGATATATTATTTAAGAATTAGATAAAGAATACTGTAGTTGAAAAAAATAAAATAATGAATGTATTGAAAATTTCAGTCAAATTACTTTATTTTGTGCAAAGTACTTGAAAACTGAGACTAAGTCTAGATTATCTATTTTACCCCTAAACTCTTGAATGTATTGAAAATTTCAGTCAAATTACTTTATTTTGTGCAAAGTACTTGAAAACTGAGACTAAGTCTAGATTATCTATTTTACCCCTAAACTCTTGAATGGCTGCAGTGTTCTAATCTATTTAAAATCGGAGCCATCTGATGGCCCAGAGAGTTGATTATGGGCTTCTTATAATGTTTAAATAATAATTTATTTAAAATACTCATGCTTGTACATGAAGTTGTGAATAAACTATTATTATCTATCTATACTAATATTTGTGACTGTCGGTTGTTTGTCTGTTTGTCTGTCTCTTCGGGGTTGGCGGCTACACTAGGTCTGCCCCGAGTCTGAAATTTGGGGTATAGGCGTAGCTCGGACCGGGGAGTAACATAGGCTAGGTGGCGTTAGTCTGCCACTTCCGGTTTCGGGGTTATGACCCCCAAGCGAAGCCGGGCATTCTTCTAGTTATTATATAAAATTTGAATCCAGAAAAAGGCAACCTGCAATAAGCAGATTTAGCTCTTACATAATGCATTGTTAAAGATACATTATGGGAGATTCGATAACAAGTTGGCATTTCTCACTATAATAGTTAAAAAACTAGATAATGTAAACGAAATTTGCTGAAAATTTCATTCAAATTGATCCACTATGAACCGAGAACTAAGTGATTGAAATTTCCGCCTAGCCTTGATCATCATTACTAAAATTAGTATGATAAACAGCATAGTCTCGATTATCCATTTAATCGCTAAATCGTGAAGGAAAGTTATGCAGTAAATCGGCTCATAATCCACTAATAATTGCAGGCTAACAATGCCATCGAGAGTTGATTATGGTCTGGATAGGTTAATTAATGTCTAATTAATAATTTAGATAACATTTCAGGCCTAAAGAAAGACCTGCAATAGACAGATTTAGCTCTTGCATAATGCATTCTTAAATGTATTGTCTTCCCAGTTTAATTAAATGTTACAAGGTCGCCTCTATATGCATCCTATTGTACTGTCTCTACTGCTTTTTTTATTTGTCCTTGTTCTGTGGTTCAGTTTTAAATACACAACATGCTTTAATTCTTCCTTTTATTAAAGACAAGTTGTGCATTGATTTTAGTAAAGATTTTTCAAAGTTGTGCATTGATTTTTGTAAAGATGTTTAAAATTATTTTTATTTACAAAGAACAAATGTCTAGAACTGGAGGTTTGTGCAGTATATTATTGATTATTCTTTAGAATCTATATATTATTTAAAGACCCATTAGCCCTGGGAATGTAAATAGAAAAATAAATACAGTTATTATCACAAATTCAAAATTTCATTAAATTCGAATGAGTTATTTTTGAAATAGCATTTCTGATGTCCAGCAGAGGGATATACATCTCTCTGATGAGTGGCTTATTTTAGTTTGAGTAACGCTGAGCCTTATGCTAAATTTTAAACTTGATCAAATTTTATTGCCTGAAACACCCATGGGGAGCAGCATACCCTACAATTGAATATATCACATTATTAAAACAAACATATATATATATATACAACTGGTAAAATGTGATATATCATATCAGATTGTATAGCTAAGGGGATAATGAACCAAAGAGCTACAGATATGTAAATCGGGGTTCTCGATTCAGCCATATTTGCCAGTCTTGAATGACTGACAGTAAAATTGACCAGTGGGACAAATTACTTATCATTCATTCACATGCGTAGAATTATGACTTCAATGAAATTAGCCTTAAAATACAGTAGATACAGTCAAATGGTTAGATTATTATGTGTAAAACACAGAAAAATATCTGTGAAAAAAGTTTGGTAGTGCTTAAATTTGTCATGTACTTTGAAAAAATATTTTGCTAATCTGAAGAAAACATAATATGTTAATAACTAACAGACTGACAAATTTTTAAAGATACATTCCCGGGTACAAACTGGGTGATTTGATATATTTGGACTAAAAACATATTCAAACTAATTAATTCATCATAATTTTGCTTCAAATCTTTCTCAAAACATTGCAATTGTCGGGGAATACCCGGCTATAAAAAATCGATCAGAAGAGGTCATGTTTGTGTCACGTGACACAACGGGTGGGAAGTCGGAGGAGAATACATTGCATACACAAGACGATGTTGCCTTTATCGCTGACTATTTATTACAAATATCGAAGGCTAATTAAATTTTCGGATTATCCACTGCCCCCGTCTTTTTCCGTGATTTTTATCTCAGAAAGTGTTGTACGTCTAACTCTTCACAAAGTTTATCAACATGTACATCAAACGCTCAATCACTGCACGCAACCTTCAATGTCACGCATGCAGACACTCCTTATCGTCGTGCTGTCGATTAGGGAAACCTGTACATTTTTGTCCTGTATGTGCTCCATTAGTGTTTTTCAGGGAATCCAGTATTTTTCTAGTAAGATTGGATATTTCTACTTTCCATATATACCAAAATTGACATACTTTTATTGGAAATAACCACCCGATAAATACTTTTCTGGGAACGTAGCTTTAAAGCTCTTGTAATAAGCAAGGAATTCAAATTGAAATTATTTTTTTTCACTGTTTTATTACATATAAAAACAAAATTGATCTTGATTTGTATCAGGTTTGAAAAATGAGAGGTTTGTTAATGCATGCTTATATTACTGATTTATGCACAAATAGAGATTTCTTTGTTAAAGTATTTATGTAAATAGAGACGTATTTGATTATTAATTTTTGCTGGTTGATTATATATAATCCCTAGTGTATATCTTTTAGGTGAATATTAATTAATCGCAATAGATCAATATTGTATTCATGTTCTTTATGTTGTAGTTCCGTCCATTCTGAGATAGCGGTAGCGCGAGGACAGGACCGAGTTCGACCTCAAATACCTGACCAACAAGGTAAATTACTTATATATAGTAGTAGAAAATGATATTGTATTACTGGTAGTAATCAATAAAAGATATACTCGACCCACAGCAACAACATGATTCTCATATTTCAGTACTACATATTGATTTTTCAAATCATCCTTACAAACAACAAATCATCTTCACCAGGTATTACATTATGGACGTGTTGCAGATGACTAAAAGAAGTTGACATTTGCTATGATGAAATGATTTTTAACTAAATTTGAAAATGGGATTTGGAAAAAGAAAATTAATATCGATCTCCCCCTCCATTTTCTTTAGTCATCATCATTCTTTTATACTACTGGGTTTCTCTTTTCCAGTATCCAATTTCTCTTTCTAGTGATTTTCTTGTTGAAAACTATTTTTGAGCCACAGTGGCTCAATGAGTAAGTAGCTAGCTCACAAAAAGGAGGATCCATGTTGAATGCCAATGTTGATTTTCCATGGTGGTTTCCCCTTGCCGGTAGTGCAGCACCAAGTCCTTGGCAAGAAGAAAAAGTGTGTAATCATTCGGACAGGACAGAAAACAGAGGTCCTGTGTACTTTTTGGAATTCAAAATAAATGTAGCCTGTAGTGCTGCTGTACAGTCAAAATTTCCTTCATATAGCATACTGCATCCTACCAAGTTGTGCAGGACAGAGGGCCTGACAAGGACAGCTGTCTAGTCATTTGGATGGGATGCAAAACTGAGGTTCAGTGTATACATTGGCATGCACTTAAAAGATCCCTTGGTAGTTGGAATTTGATATAAGAGTAGGCGATAGTGCCGCTGCCCGAGTAAAATTTTCCACATAGCACACTGTATGGTGTATGCCCGTCTTTATAAGCTCATTCGAAGCAGAACAGTAGGAATGTAAACCCCATTGCATTTCATTTCATTTCTTATAGATGTATACTTAATTTAAATAACATTTTGCATGACTTCTGGCTCAACTACTAATGAATTTAATACTTTAATTTCAGTGATAGCATTTGAAATATGTGTAGCCAACAGATATAAACTTAACAAGAAATATTTAAAATCGGTAACACAGTCCAATGATGATCCTGATAATATTGCGCTGAAAAATAATGTTTCTCAAAATAAGGTAAAGCATAAAATTATAATGATAAACCCAATGTTAAGGGTGATGGATAAATCTCTGTGAACTTTGTGCTCAAACTTGGTTTTCATCAGATATCTGTAGTTTGTTTTTACCATTTGTCTTCATAATATACCCTTATACCTTTGGAGACATTTTTTAATTTTTAGTGAATTTGCTTATTGAGTAATGGTATCAAATTGACCCTGTGTCCTCACATGACACTTGATGATTCTTTATCAGTCATTCCCAGAACTTCATTGGTTTAGATCCTTGATTTACAATTATCGAGTTCCTTTTGACCAGAGGGGCACTGAAAAGCTGAGGATTTTATATGGCTTCTACTCTTCTACACCAGCCAGGGATAAAATTAATGAGATATACCTGTTCTCAATTTTAAATTTTTTGGGTAAATAGCATTCAACCATTGTTATCTTATATCCCTTCAGGCTTTTGTTGTTATGATGTATATCTGAGGGGGGCCTGTAATGCAATACATATAGTAAATGTGATAGATGTATCTTAAAAGTTATTTTAAATAGAAATTCTTGTTATTTAATCCCCTCAACCCAATTTAATTTGAAGCAAATAAAAAAAATGTTTGTACCGGTATTCCTCTTTTGTCTTGTCAGTTTCCTGAGGTGACATGAATCGGGGTAATGTCAACATAGTGAGAATATTTGGGAGTGACATAAATTAGTAGACTGATTTCATGAATCCTTTTTATTCTATTTTCCATGTTATATTATCTTAATGAATCATTGATTACCATATTGATTACAGTTGATTAACTAACTTATGATTTTAGTTGTGGATATTGATTAACAGGGGGCTTGGGTGGCCAATTGGTCTAACACATGCACTTTAGATCATTAAATCTGTCATTTCCTAGCATGTACAGAAGGTGTAGGGTCGCCTGTCCAACCTTGTGAGTTTACTCTAGTTTCCTCCCACTGCTCAAGAACTCTACATGCAAGCAAATTGTTAAAATCAAATTGAACCATAGGCATATATTTTATTCCCCAAATGACCTGGTTTGTGCCCTGGATCTTAAACTCTCTCTCTCTCTCTCTCTCTCTCTCTCTAAATTAACTTTTATAGATTTGTATTGTAGTTTGTGGAACTCAATATGAGCTGTTAGTGTATGTGAAAGAAGTCCACCCGGACTTAGGCACACTTGTTCACCCCAATAGAAACCACTCCTAGCAAAACGTCTTGTGTCCTCAGTTGAGTATCTTAATCATAACAGCTAGGTGCCTAAAATCACAGGACTAAAACTATGGCGGTATATTAGATTCAAAATTCTAAACTTCTAACTTCTGTTCATGTATTTTTTAACTTCTATTTATGTAATTTCTAACTTCTATTCATGTAACTTTTAAATTAAGACAATGTATAATCCAACTTCTTTATTTGTTCAGTGTAAATTTTAATTCTATTTCATCTTATTTCTATTATTTAGACGAAAAACGTCTTCTTCATTGATGCTTTACACGTTTAGCATCAACATCAACGAATTTATAATTTTTACATTCTACCTAGCAACCATCATTATGAAGTCGTTTGGTGTCGCCACTGCGTGCTCATTTGGTGATTGCGCACCTGGTCAGGACCATTATGTTGATATAAACGACTCGTCCTTCGTTGGGTTGAAGGTTGGACAGAGTGCTGAAATTTGATGAGAGAGAGAGAGAGAGAGAGAGAGAGAGAGAGAGAGAGGCTTGATAAAGACGAGTGTATCCTGTCAAAACCTCGCTTTAAGTATTAAACTCAGTAATTGTGTATCCATAAAATTGTACCCTGTGTTAATATAGACCGTACAATATAAATATTAATTTGCTCAATTGTAACAAAAAAATCAAATAAAATTCTCCAAATCCTGCACTTGCTTTAAATAAAAATTAGCAAATGCTGTTTAGCTTATATTTGAAATAGTATTTGTAAACCATATCACGTTCGATGTTGTTTGGGGGGTTGGATGGCCGAATGGTTAGCACGTCAACTGGTGTGGTTTCGATTTCCCGGTTGTACGTGCCAAGGAGTATGTTCGCCTGTCCAACAACCTCATGGGTTTTCTCCGAGTCCTCCAGGTTCCTCCCACTGCTAAAGACCCTACGCGCAAGCGAATTATTGAAATAAAATTGAGCCATATGTTAGTCCCGAAATGACTTAGCTTGTGTCACGTGGACGTTAAACACCATCTCTCTCTCTCTCTCTCTTTCTTTCTCTCTCTCTCGATGTATGGGAATCACGTGGCTAAGTAGGTAAGAAGCTGGCTCGCTAGCCTGGAGGTCGGGTTATGGATCCCTGCATTGGCAGAGAAAGTTCATCCAGATTTTCCGGCGTGGTTCCCCCTTGTCAGTGATGCAGGACGGAGGGCCGGACAAGGACAGCTGTCTAGTTCTTCGGATGACACGAAAAACCGAGGTCCCATGTATACATTGGAATGCACATAAAAGATCCCTTGGCAGTTGGAATTCGATATAAGATAGGCGATAGTGCCGTTGCCCGGGCAAAATTTCCCTAATAGCACGCTGTATGGCGTATGCCCGTCTTCATTAGCCCAGCATAGGAGCAGAACAGTAGGACGTTAAACCCCATTTCATTTCTCTCTATGTATTCAATTTTAACACTCTGCCAAACCATTCAACCTGACGAAGAGCGAGTCGTTTGTATCAACAGAATGGTCCCGATCAGGTGTTCAATCGCCAAATTGAGCACACAGTGGCGACACCAAATGACATCATAATAAGATGCAACAGAATTAAAATTTACATTGAACAAATAAAGAAGTTGGATTATACATTGACTTAATATAGAAATTACATGAATGGAAGTTAGAAATTACATGAATGGAAGTTAGAAATTACATGAATGGAAGTAAGAAATTAGACGATAGCATGTTAGAATTTTGAATCTAATAAACCGCCATATAAAATACCCCCATTCAACAGATATAGTACATATTATCAATTTCTTTCCTAAAACATGATAATATCCGTTTTCTTATAAATAAGTTGTATGTTGGTTTCAAAATTTCTTATACAGGCAAACCTGTTCATAATATATTGTATTTTGTCTGAAATAGAAATCGTCACTTTAAAAATATACATATATATATATATATATATATATATATATGTGTGTGTAGGCATAATTATATATCTACTATACAAAAGGTATATATATATTACAAACTAAATCCTGGTTACAATGGTATATTATCAAGGTCAAAAATAGTTTATATAAGAAATAAAGCAACACTTGGCTACGCATGGACAATTAATAGTCTACTTAAATAACATTTGTCATAAGTAATATAAATAACTGTATTAAATGATCCTAACATTACACCTGCATCTTTATCTGCATCTTATTTACCGATAAACTTGTTGCTAACAGAAGTCATTTATATTTATCTTAAAGGAATACTCTCATTTTAGTGAACATTCATTTTTTTTTCTGTTAATGGTTAATGCGTGCACGTTGGAACAGAAGGTCTGTCATTGAGTCAAACGGCGTTTTTTCATTTCCCCGCTTGTTTATGACAAGAAGTAGAGTCACCTGTCCAACCTTGTTGGTTTTCTCTGGATCCTCCGGGTTTCCTCCTACTGCTAAAGATCCGTATGTGCAAGTGAATTAATGAAATAAAATTGAACCATATGTTAGTCCCAAAATGACCTAGTTTGTTTCAAGTGGAGGTTAAACCCCATATCTCTCTCTCTCTCTCTCTCTCTCTCTCTCTCTCTCACTTCTGCCTCAAAATCATGACTATTCACCAAAACCTAGCTGAAAATTGAAATTCAAACACTTTTTTTCAATTCAAGAGCAATAAGTGAACACAATATGCCGTTCAGTGGGTGGGGGAAAGGAAGAAAGATAACTACTATCCATCATGAGGTCAAGGGAAGCAATTACTAGTCTTAATCTAAACAGAAAAATTTAGGTTATCCTGTTTATGTATAGATTTGTTATTGTATTAAAACCAAAAGAGTGTCATTATGGTTGAATCTGACCAAAACTGTTGTCAAATGAGATAAAGATAATGCACATTGGTACCAGGATCAAGGTTTCAGCTTTTAGACTATCTGTATATATATATAATCACACATAGGTGCCACTGGTATAAACCAGTAGACGTGGTACAAGGGTTAATCAGCGAACTGGATGTATGAGATGTGTTGTTGACGTTTGGGAAAGTAGGACGAGGGGAAATGTGTAGGGAGTGAAGTGCTGTAAAGGGATAGTTAGATGTATTATGAATGGTTAGAGTTGCTGTGGTGTTACGGTGAAATACTATGCCGCCACCGTAACACCACAGCTTTATGATTTGTTAGACAGGGGTGATGTAATGGGTGTCAACAACTGGGTATGCTGGTACCGTCGCAACGTAGCCGTGAAATATATATTGTGGGGGGGAAGGGCGGAAACGGAAAAATATACAATGTTGACAGTATGTGCCAGGCATGAGGCTGCGCAGACCGAGCGGCAGCTCGATAGGGAGTGTGTGGGAGGGTCACCCTCATAAAAATTTTTTTTTTAAATTTCAGTTTTCTGTAAGCAGTAAAAACACTATTTTGGCATTGTTTGCGGGGTTAAACCTAAAAATCACATTAATACACCTATTGCACGATATTGTGAAACTAGCTGACGAAGACAGCTCGGGCGGCGATTGTTCGACTCGGGGCTGCTCTGTCAGTATCTAACAAACGCATTTAGTTGGCGTACAACTTTTAAAAACCGAATGTCAGTATGGTATTTCTCACATAATTGGTTATCGCAAAACCAGAGTAAACTGAAAGCGAGTAATCTCGACTCAAACCTATAGTCTATAGCCTACTTACTACACTCGTCACTAGGCTTCCTATATTATTGTTTGTGGACGGTTTACTACTCAGTGATAAGCCTGCGCCGCAAAAAGAGGTCTCGCCTTTTATTATTAGTATAATGACTTCCTCATGTGCGGCAGGTTAGTTTGCTTCTAAAAACACTGTTTTCCGTTCCAAAAAATACAAAAGTAATTTTCTACCAGATGACCATGGTTCTTTTCACCGAGACTCGATAATTTCTCTCGGTGTAAGGATATAGCTATGGATAAGTTCATACAAGGTTGTACTTCACAGACTGTTTACCTCCGAACTACCTCCGCACGAAATCCCCGATTAGGGTACTTGTTAAAAGAAAAAGAAATAGTACCTGTGCGCATGCCAGTATAAAAAAACTAAGAGTTCGCGCATAAAAATGCCCGAACGTACCAGGCGCCAGGTCATCAAGGGTTGCCTGTCAAACAATCTTCTTTATTTTTAAAGTCCATAATGTGAACTCAAAGGGATTTTTTTTTTTGATGACTTTCCTTGAACTATTGATGTTGTGTACTATAATTATGATTTGTATTGATTCTTTGATTTTCTATTCAAATACGTCTATTTTGGTCTTGAGTGATTATTCATGTTTTATTACCTTTTTTTTCCATGTAAGTTTGAAGAGTAGAGCAAAAGTGATGCTATATAGTTTTAACTATATATGATAAAATATTGTTTTTTTTTGTATGAATATAATCTTTATTAAGGTTAATGACCTAGAACGACTTTCAAGAAACTGCTGTAACTGTTATAATTTTAATGATTATCAAAATTGGCATCAGTGAAACATCCAATTAATTTATCAGAAGTACACACATATAGTATTCATCATTAAATTCTACATACGAAGCCCCACCAGTACTATATTGCATGAATGTGCAGTGTTCTTAATGAGTTAGAAATAAGAATGGGACAGACTGTTTTAATGTTGAAATTAACAAATTCACTCAAAAGATTCATTTGAACTTTGAATCCCGCTTTTCTAAAATCATGTATCCACTACTGAATAATAGTGATATTTGATTTTCCTGTGGACGTATATTGCCGTCGCCCCAAATTTGCCGTCCGCCATGCCAGCTGTCCACTATTTGTTTGTGGTCACTCTACAGGTCACAATTCTTTTCCGATTTTGACGAAACTTGAAATATTGGGTTATGTTCAGAAGATTTTGGCTCCTTTCGATATTGGCATGTATCCCATTGAAACTTCATCGATTCATCGATTATGGCCCCTGATTGTATGAAAAATCATGTTTTTAGCTTGTGGACACTCTAAGAGGTCATAATTTTTATCTGATGTAATATGTAATAACAAGGTTATGGACCCTCTCGAGGTCAGTATATCATCTAATGTACTGGTATTTGATGTTTGTAGATAACTGCAGATCTAGAAAGTGAAGATAATGCATTAGAACAGAAAAGACAACAGGGTAGAAAAGTTTTATATGGCCAAGTTATACAGGTAAAATATTGTCTTTTGTATTGTCTCTTGAGTTCAGTCACTTTTATTATACTCTATGCTTCTTACTTAGTTTTTTTGAAAAATGTGGTGTCAAATTAAACTTGAAAGGATATAAATTTTCTATATCAAATGTTGTTTTTTTGCTCTTGGAAGATTCACTAATTCAGTATTATTGCTTAAATTTGTCTGCTTCATTGCTTTACCATTTTTGTGTATGGTAATATAGTCAGTTTGTACCATGTTTTTACTGTAAAGTTAGTGTATTTTATCGGTCTTAATAATAAAGGCTGTTGTATATTCCAAATGTATAATTCTAGTATGCAGATACCAAAAATATTAGTAAACCAAACAGTAAAATTTACAAAGTGATCTGTAGATATAAAATAGTAGAATAGGATTAATACATTGACTGTGCTAGCTGACTTTATTGTATTATACTCAATATTTGAACTGATCACATTGAGCACATTTTTTCAACCAAAGCTTTTGATCCAACTTACTTTTACAATAAAGTCAGCTAACACAGTCAAGGTATGAGATAAAATTAATGGTGTAGCACCTAACATTGTAAAGATGCAATATGCTGCTAATTATTAAGGATCTACAGGTAACAATAATCTGTGTCAGTTGCAAGATATATACAAAACACCTACCAGCTAGCTATCTGTGGCTTTTAATTACTATTTTCTAGCTATTCCACAAACAGTCTGTTCCTGGTTTTCCTTTGGTAGCTAACATTCTTGATAATGCTCTGTGCAGTACAAATATACTATTCAAAAAAAGTAGGGGATATTTGATTTTTAAGTGTTATTAAAGTCACCTAATGAAACTGACGAAGAAACAAATGACAAAATGAAATGAAGTTCACATTCATCGATTTATTCCAAATGATCGTTAGACTAAGTAAGGCACAGACTGACCATTATAAGGGTAAAATGATACCCGGGGTCAAACAGCAAAGTTACCACAGCATCACAACCAAGTCAGTAACGGATAAATCCTCCTCTGTTTGCCAAACAAGCATTGATCCGACGTGGCATACTCCTAATGAGACGTCTAAGGTCATTGTGGTCCAGATTGTCCCATTCCTGTTGCAACGCAGCAGCAAGTTCTTGGACATTGGCAGGACGTTGTTGACGTTGACGTAACCTCTGTCCAAGCATGTCCCAGACATGCTCGATGGGGGAGAGGTCGGGACTCAGTGCTGGCCAAGGTAATGTGGTGATGTTCTGTTGTTGGAGGTAACCTGTAACGATCCTGGCCCTGTGACATCTTGCGTTGTCATCCTGGAAGATGAAACGGCGGCCATGACGTCGTGCGAACGGCACAACATGGACTGCCAAGATGTTGTCCCGGTAGTACTGGCCTGTAACACGCCCTGCAACAACATGTAAAGCCGTTCTTCCAGCAACAGTGATGCCTCCCCACACCATAACAGAACCACCCCCCAATCGATCATGTCTGATGACGTTAACGTCTTGGAAGCGCTCGTTTCGACGACGCCACACCCTCCTACGTCTGTCCCAAAAATCAACAGTGAACCTTGACTCATCTGAAAACATCACATTGCTCCAGCGTCGATTATCCCAGTGTTGACGATCCCTACACCAACGACGTCTTGCCTGAATGTGATGATCTCTCAAACAAGGGATCACGCGAGGACGTCGGGCGCGAAGGTGACCCCTATGCAGTCGATTCCGAATCGTCTGGCCACTCACTCTCACACCAGTGTCTGTTTGAAGACGAGCGCTGATCTGATTTGCTGTGATGACACGATTTCTCAAGGCCAAGGTACGGATAAATCGATCCTGGGCTTGAGTTGTCGCCCTTGGTCGACCTGAGCGTGGTCTGTCCTGTACAGATTGTGTATCACGGTATCTGGACCATAGCCTGCTTATGACAGACTGAGAAACATTCATCGTCCGCGCCACAACCGCCTGTGTTGTGCCGATCTGTAGCATGCCAAGGGCACGTAACCTTTCATTTTGGGTAAGCCGACGCATATCAAAATTTGTTTTCTGGTCACTAAAACAATTAAACTGATGTTTCCACCCTGGAATTCAATGCCACAATGACTGTAACATTCAAAGTCAGAGTCGTGCAAATCTTGGGTTGGACCCCCATGATGATCCCAAGCATCACCTGCATTCCATGCGGTAGCTATTGGTGCGTTTGGGCGTCACATGTAACTGGAAATGTTTCTTCTGTTAGGTTCTATAGTGACTTTTTTCGTAGTCATTTGCATATTTTAGTATTATGCCCCCAAAATCAAATATCCCCTACTTTTTTTGAATAGTATATATATCGATGTAGCTCCTATTATAGTGTAGAAATATTAAAATTGATCATATTTTCCCCTCATTTCAGTTACGTCATCTATTTAGTGATAAATATGTCCATGTATCAACAACAAAAACATCCAATACAGAATCTAATAATATGGCAGTAAGTTAATTCTTCCATTCCCTTTAGAAAACAACACTATAATCCAATTATCAGATGTTTTTCATTCATTCTATTACTTATTTTATATTTTACTGGATTCAGTTTTACTTAATATCTGACAAGTTTTAAGATTATATCCGTAAACAGCCAAAAAAAACAACTGTCCAATGATCTATTTATAAACTTAATGAAGGTCTTGTGCATAGCAGCAGTACTGAAATGAATATATTCAGTGTAGAAAATCCAGAACCATAAAGATACAATTTAATTAGATGCCCAGAGACCTGTTGATTATATTGTGCCGCTGGTATCAAGTAAACTGTTTTGGATTGTGGAAGAGTCACATGATAGTGATAGGTATCATGCATGATGCTGTGTATGCTGAACATTTCCAGAACATCTCTTTTCTTATGAGATTTTACTCACTTGCTGAATTTGTCAATTGTATTTTGTATTTTACCTATGGATATGCTCAATCTGGTTAAAACACAGATCCTATTTCGTTTCGTTTTTATAGTTCAGAATTTCGTTTTACTTGTCTTTACTACACTAGGATCTGGAAGAGTTGTTATCATTGACGTGTTCGGGCTGATGTGAGGGATTAGCCAATGAAATGGTCTGTTAGGGCGAGCTTTTGGCCTTTTGGTGCACGGAACTGTAGGTAAACCACTAGAAACGTCAACGCTGATTGATTAATTAATGTCTGATGTCATAGGGTCAAAAGCCGCTCGTTTGGCCCCTGACTTGAACTCCCACTATAACTTGTCAGATCAACGCTAATTGATTAATTAATGTCTGACGTTATAGGGTCAAAAGCCGCTCGTTTGACCCCTGACGTGAACTCCCACTATAACTGGTCAGATCTTCATGCAGTGTAGGCCATTGAAAGTATAAAAAAACGAAACAAAATATAGATCTATTTTAATCAGATTTGGGATATGCTTGATCATCTAGTCCCAAGATTTTTGTTGTCTTTTTTTTTTATCATACAAATTTACTTTTTATCCAATTGAAAGGTGGAATTACGATCAGAAAATGCCAAACACTGTCAGTTTCGTATCATGCCCAGATATAAAGTTAAATCAGAAGGTGATGTGGTAAGTTATTTCTGTTTTAATAAGCTAATCCCTAACCACAATACATAGTATAAACATGGTACACATGATGCCTCCTTTAACAGGATTTTCCTTTGGGTATCTAGAATAGTTTCTTATAAAAATATAAGTACAGTAGAATCTGTATTAAGCAGCCACCCAAGGGAATTTTCACAACTGACCGCTTAACGGGAGTGGCCTCTTAATAAAATCTCATTGCTTTTTGTGCCGACATAAATTAAATATTACTCTTGGATGCATTGGAAGCGGTAAATTTGGCCGTCGCTGAATCTTGCGCCGAACGAAAATTCTTTACTCAAATCTCGGACATAACTTAACGGGAGTGGCCTCTTAATAAAATCTCGTTGCTTTTTGTGCCGACATAAATTAAATATTACGCTTGGATGCATTGGAAGCGGTAAATTTGGCCGTCGCTGAATCTTGCGCCGGACGAAAATTCTTTACTCAAATCTCGGACATGACTTCTGTAAACTTGTCATTTTGTACCAACCTTCGATACTACTGTCTACCATTGTGATGCATTCGATAATATTTATCCATTTTTGTGAAGAAAATCGATGAATTCATTTTATTTTATCAAAAAAGCACATGAACAAAAAAAATCGCTAATTTTATCTCCTATTTAAAGGGGGTGTAACTCTGTATGTAATATTATAGGAGGCGCTAAGAGAGATACTAGATGATCGTGACAAAACTCGGTACTTTTCTTTTATTCAATCAGTATCAAATAATGTGTCGTTACGCGTGAAAACAATGATCAGGTTAGTCGTTTAATAAAACAAAAGATTAATTAACAGATAATCCTGGGTTGATTGTTATGTTTACATTTCTTTTTACCTGATCAGTGGGGGTCCAGTTAATTAACTACTACTCACGGGATTAGCGGGGGTGTTACAAAGAACGACAAGATGGTATCATTCAACAATGGCCGTTGAATGGGCGATGTTTTGTTGAATTTATTAGTAAAATAGTGACCGCTGGCCGCGTTAGAGGAGTGACCGTTGAATAAAGAGATGAAACAACAGAATTTCTACGGGGGGAATTTATCGTGACCGCTTACAAGGAGATGTCGCTTAATAGGAGTGGCTGCTCATACAGATTCTACTGTAATAGTATTATTTGAAATATTTGATAGTTTGGGTAACTATATCAGTCAAGGAAAGATGAAAATAAATAATTGCTAGTTGTAAAGATCCCTTCATTACAATTTGATTTAGAACAGTGATTCTCAACCAGTGTATCAATCTGAAATAAACAATGTGATAAATGTGACGTGAGATATCTTTTGTTAGAAGTGCCTAGGTTGGTTTTCTTTAGTGTCTATGTTATGGTAGAATAACTGATACAAAAGTAGAAATCTTTTGAGACAGGTGAAATTAAGAGATGTAAACGTGCCAAATCTCATACGGCTGATGTCGCGAAAAAGATTCTATTTTGATGGCGTTTTCTCAGATTTATGATCATATTTTGAATGGGGTTTATGTTTTTAAATAAAATGTGGATGTATTATGCCGTCGCCCCTGTCAGTCTGTCCGTCCGTCCAGAATTTGTTTGTGGACACTCTACAGATCACAATTTTTATCCTATTTTGAGGAAACGTAAAATATAGGTTTATCTCCCAAAGATCTTGGTTCCTTTCGATATTGGCATGTATCGGACCATAACTTCCTGGATTATGGTCCCTGATTGTACGAAAAATCACATTTTTGGCTTGTGGACACTCTATTATATGGTTGGGTTGGGTCACAATTTTCATCTGATTTTGATGAAACTTTAAATGCATGCTTATAACCCAAATAGTGTAAAAGTATGTAATACCAAGGTTGTGGACCTTCTTGAAGTCAGTTTTTATCTGATTTTGATGAAGCGTAAAAGATCTTGGTTGCATTCGATTTTCGTCCATATCAGACCGTAACTTCCTGGATTGGAAATAAAAATCACTTTATTTTTAGCTTGTTCTCTGTCCATCTCTTGCCAAATGTTGGCGTATCTTTGCCTGGCAACTGCAGGTTGTTATTATTATTATCATAATATTGTTTGTCTGTATAATTATGTTCCAATAGGACAACTAACGACATTGTAAGCTAGAGGAGACATAAATTTAGGTGTAGCACCTCACAGTATATGAGATTGCACTGCCTTTGTAACAGTCTCAGATATTGTCTGAACATGTATTGGGGGTGTTGGATGGCCGAATGGTTAGCATGTGTGCGCTGTATCATAAGACCTGTCATTGAATCAACTGGCGTGGTTTGTACGTGACAAGGAGTAGGCTCGCCTGTCCAACCTCGTTGGTTTTCTCCGGGTCCTCCGGTTTCCTCCCACTGCTAAAGACCCCTACGTGCAAGCGAATTACTGAAATAAAGATTAAACCATATGTAAGTCCTGAATAGACCTAGTTTGTGTTGAGTGGACGTTAAACCCCATTTCTCTCTCTGAACATGTATTGTCAGCTTGTAATGTCACCTTTTGGTCTATAGATGCATAGTAAGTACCAATTGCTGCTGTAAAGATCGATAAATATCTAGTCATTGGAAATGATGGTATTTTCAATATATTTATTTATGATGTTTTGTCAGCCAGGAAAAAAAAGAACATTTGTAATGTACTAAAACTCATGAAACTCTTATAAGGAACTGAATCAAAGACTTGCCATGAATTATTAAATTTCAAAGTGAACAAGTGTATTATATTTCTGTTGCTCTGCAACGGAAGTAAACATTATGCAGCTTTATATTATTGTTGTCTTATTCTGTTTTCTTTCTGCTATGCTTCATTTAAAGCTATTGTATGATGTATATATTATATTTTTTGATGTAAATATATATTAGATTGTTTGATGATACAAAAAAAGTCTTAAAATAGAAACTGATTGAACAGTTGATAATGGCAACAAATAATAACAAGAGCATCGCTAACACTGCAATATCAATAGTTGCCATCCTTAGGGTATAAGGAATAAGCATACCAAGTTCCAAGATAATACATTCAGAATTGTGGCCTTTAGGTGCTAAAGGCGAAAATTGGGCTTGGATCTGCTCCTGGGGTCGGGGCATTCAACAAAATCAATAGTTGACAACCTTAGGCTTTAAGGAATACATATGCCAAGGGTCGGGACATGCAGTTGTCGTCCTTAGGCTATATGGAATACATATCCCAAGTTTAAAAACAATGCATTAAGAATCGTGGCCTGTAGGCAACACACAGAGACACAAAGGACAAATGGGTGTGGTTCTGCACATGGGGGTTGGGCAATCACCAAAAAAACAATAGGGGTCATCCTTAGGGTATAAGGAATAGGTATGCAAAGTTTCAAAAGGATCTGTTAAGAATTGCGGCCTGTAGGCAAAACACAAGACACACAAACATTGGACGTGGCTCTGTCCCAGGGGGTTGGGCATGCACCAAAAATAATAGAGGTCAGCCTTAGGGTGTAAGGAATAAGTATAAAAAAAGTTTTCAAGACGGTCAATTAAGCATTGCGGGCTGTAAGTGACACACAGACACATAAAAAGAAAATGGGTGTGGCTCTGCCCCTGGGGGTTGGGCATTCACCATAAACAATAGGGATGTTCCTTAAGATAGAAAATATAAGTATGTAAAGTTTCAAGGTGATACATTAAGAAATGCAGTCTGTAGATGACAAACAAATGAATACAAAAAAATGTGCGTGGCTCTGCCACTATGGGGGTCAGGCATGCATCAGAAACAGTAGGGATCATCCTTAGGGTATAAGAAATTCATATGAAAATTGTTCAAGGCCATCGATTAAGAATTGTGGCCTGTAGGCGACACACAAACACACAAAAAGAAAATGGGTGTGGCTCTTCCCCGGGGGGTTGGGCATGCACCCCAAATGATAGGGATGTAGGCGACACATAGACACACAAACACACAAAAAGAAAATGGGTGTGACTCTTCCCCGGGGGGTTGGGCATGCACCCCAAATGATAGGGATGTTCCTTAGGGTACAAAGAATAAGTATGCAAAAATTATATGTTAAGAAATGAAGCCTGTAGACAATAAACAAACATGGGGCCGGGAATGCCCCAAAAACAATGGGGATCATCTTTAGGATATAAGGAATAAGTAAGTAAAGTTTCAAGATGATCACTTAAGAATTGTGGCGACACACAGACACCCACCCACACCCACACCCACAAACACACACACAGGGGTGACGGCAAAATACAACCACATTACGAATGTGGACATATAAATATGAAATGACATATTATACAAGAATCACACAAGTTGGATATGTCATTTTTTTTTTTTTTTAAATATAATATCAATTTAAATTCTTGCTACATATATCAAGCTTTTATTCAACATCACCAAAATTCAGTGGATCATTATCATTGGATTGATTCTAAAAAGAAAAGAAAAAGAAAAGATGAAGCATGAAATATATGTCATCAGCTCCAGCTAAATGAAACAAATTACGCCTTTGCAAAAACTCAAATTTGTATTCAAACCCTTTAAATTAGTTATGTTATATATATATGTGCAGATTTCCTAGCTGAGATAATTAGCTTTGAAGTTCGTATAAATGATAATATTAATATGTATTTTGTTGAACCATCAACGAAACGTTGCTTTAAATAAAATAGTAATTGTGTTCCATATTATGTTTTTGTATTATGTATTTTGTAGTTCATAAATTGTTTTATGATAATAATGAGTATATTTTTTTTCTATGATTTGTAGGTACAAGTTGATGATCAAATAGTGTTAGAAAGTTTTAAATCATCTGGACAATATCTACATGTTAGTCGATCACCATTACCCAAAACATCAGTCTACAGTCATTGGTAAATTATTACACACCTTGCTCTTTAGAAACACAGTTGGGGCTACTGCCTGACATTAAGCAAGGAATTTGCAGATCTTTAGCTTATATTAAAACTTTTGTCTCTTATAGTTTTCGAGTTTTGATTATGTTAATTTATTATTCAGACCTTAGCAAATAAAGGTAAGGTATTAAATGAGGTCCATTCATATATCCTTGTGTCCTGGTTTTGTTTCTAGAGCATATATTAATCATTTTTGAAACTTTGTTCATAGATAAACTATTATTGTGCTTGTTCCCGCTGCAAATTACAAATTTCTTTGATTTAATTATTGGGGTGATGATGATGAGTCTTTTGCTTCATCTTACAGTTGTGAGTTAAATTTATCAGTTGTACAGTCTGGTTTTACTATCTATAGAAAACATAAACCTGGTCAAGATGATGATAAAAAAATCAAGGTAAGAATAATACAATAATGCAGAAGGTATAGTACAATTAATACAAACTCTTATACAAGATATACATTTAAGATTAAAATGGAGAAGACAAGAAAAACAAATCATTCTTTCTTGATGGCAACGAGAGAACACTGTATGGTATATGCCCGTCTTCATTAGCCCAGTCGGAGCAGAACAGTAGGACGTTAAACCCCATTTCATGTCTGTTGATCTTTCTGAATTTTAGGTTAGTGATATGTTACGATTTTATCATAAAGAAATGGAGGCCTATTTAGTAGCAGAAGGATTATTTGATGATGAAATAGTAGAAGATGGTAAGTCTGATATAACACATATCTGGATAATACAGCAATGATTTGATCAAAATATTAAAAAAAACCCCAAAAACCCTTTGCCATTAAACTTATTAGTTATGATTAAATGGAAATAAAGAATTCATACATCACCTTGAAAAATTTAAATTTATTGTTTTAGAACATTATTTCCACCAGTTAAGGGTAAAGGAAAAGGAAAATTGTCATGTTACAAAAGCACATATTCATGAGAATTGAGCCTCATTCCAACAAGTTTTTTGTGATTATTTACAGTTTTTAATTGATGACCTTGTGACACTTGATAGATAAATATTGTCGTATAACCTTATCACATAATATGATATTGGTTAAAAAAAAAGGACATCGGGCTAATCTATTATTTTCAATTCCAGTTCATTTGCGAGTTCGGACAGTTGACCAAAATAATCCGAAGACATTATTTCCTAGTAGTTCAGCTGTAACATACTGGCAGATTGAACTTCAAGAAGGACCCATTGCAGGTAATTTTTATTTCTGTAAAAGTTGAAGTTTCTTTAGTTATTTTTTTTTAACCAAAGAAATGTATTTGCCTTAAAGTAATATTTGATTATATTTTTCAAGAATAATTGACAGTAAGATCATGTAAAACTGAAATGAAATGAAATGGGGTTTAACGTCCTACTGTTCTGCTCCTATACTGGGCTAATGAAGACGGGCATACGCCATACAGTGTGCTATGAGGGAAATTTTGCCCGGGCAGCGGCACTATTGCCTACTCTTATATTGAATTCCAACTGCCAGGGGATCTTTTACGTGCATTCCAATATATACACGGGACCTCGGTATTTTGTATCATCCAAAGGACTAGACAGCTGTCCTTGTCAGGCCCTCCATTCTGCACCACTGACAAGGGGAAACCACGTCGGAAAATCCTGATGAACTTTCTCGGCCAATGCAGGGGATCGAACACCCGACCTCCAGGCTAGCGAGCCAGCGTCTTAACCACCTAGCCACCTTGGCTCCATCATGTAAAACACTAATGGTGATAGATAAAATAAACATTGATATATATGTTTTACAGTATGTATTTTGTTTAAAAATATTTTAGGTGGTGTATTAAAATGGGAACAACAGTGTAAAATAATACATATGTGTACACGTAAATATCTTATGGTAGATACACATGGTAAAGTTACATTAACAGTCAATCATTTAAATCCTAGAACAGTATTTAGATTACACGCTGTTATCAGGGTATGTACACAGAAATATTTTTAGGATAATGCAGGGCTGACTATTTGGCTCCTTAGAAATTGTCATCTGAAAAAATAGTTTACAGATACTATCGTTTCTTTCATTCATATAATCAGTTTTGAACAGAGGACCACTGCAAAATTCCTTCCTGTTTTTCTTTAAGAACCGTATTTGCAAAATAACAGTCAAATATGGTAGCCAGACAATTTCAGTGCCAGTCAGACATAGGCTGAAAGAAAATTCCCAAATAAAAGCCTTGGTCTTGCATTATAGGTTTTGGTACACTGGCTATACTATATTGTAAGGATAATGATTATAAGCAGTTTATATGATATATATGCTATGATTTAGGATAATGTGTAAGGATCTAGTTATTATATATTTTAGAATAGTGCTAATATACATTATAAGTTATGATATAATGGTTATGCAGTATTTTAAAATAGTGATGATTAGTGACAATTTTTCTAGGATATCGATGATAAATTGTTTGATATAATATCTATATATTTTAGTATTGTGATGATATATTATTTATATATATTAGGATAGTGATGATATACCATTTGAAAGTTATTGTCGTATAGAACATGTTGTATCAGGTTTTTGGCTTCATGCAGATGCAGGTAACTGTCTTTTATTTTTAGATTTATTGTGAACTGATGAACCATATTCACATGGCTGTGTTTGGGGAGATAATTATATTCTTTTATAAGCATATCTATGCTGTATCCATCTTTTTGCTATTGTCATATGTAATGTACATTTCTGAATAAGATATTGCTTTAAAACATTTTTGGGGGGTTGGATGGCCGAATGGTTAGCATGTGCATGCTGTATCATAGGGCCTGTCATTGATTCAACTGGCGTGGTTTCGAATTCCCGGTTGTACGTGACAAGGAGTAGGGTCGCTTGTCCAGCCTCGTGGGTTTTCTCCGGGTCCTCCGGTTTCCTCCCACTGCTACAGACCCCTACTCGCAAGCGAATTATTGAAATAAAATTAAACCATATGTTAGTCCCGAAATGACCTAGTTTGTGTCGAGTGGACGTTAAATCCCATTTCTCTCTCTTTAAAACATTTTTGCATACTTATCATTCTAGGGTATTTGATAATGAAACATAATGAGTCATTCGGATTTATGAAAATTCAGCATAAGGTTCCACATATGCATGTAGATTTTAAGCCAGTTTGTATTCACTTACTGTTGTTACAAAATTGGTGATTGCATTGCACTCATATCTAAATTGAATTCGAAAGCTTTGTCAGATATAACAATTAAAGTTCATCTAATCAAGACAATAACAAATGTAATGTAATTCCTATATATTGTATGTTATAAATATTTTTCTTTTGATTTATTTTTCAGCTGATCACAAATCATCAAATCAACCATCCATTGAAGATGAGAAATCTGATTCAATGTCAGGATTAAAATACAGCACAGCACAAGTTAAGCAGGTAGGCTAATGTATTGATTTACTACCAGGGAGTCATGGTGGCTCTTTGAGGATTCTCGCTGGCTCTCACTGACCAGGAGGTCCCGGGTTCTACCCTGGTGTTAGACATGAAAATTCCTAGTGATTTTCTAGCCTAGTGGCCAGGAAAAGCATCTAGTCATTTGTATGGGACAAAAAAGCATCTAGTCATCTGTATGGGATGAAAAACCAAGGTCCTATATACCGCATTGGCAGTATGTTGATACTTTTACTGTTGAAATTGAAATAAGAGTAGGCTATGGCTTCTGTCTAGTTAAAAAGTATGGGAAAAAAAGCATCTAGTCATCTGTATGGGATGAAAAACCAAGGTCCTATATACTGCATTGGCAGTATATTGATACTTTTACTGTTTAAGATTAGATTGATGAATTTTCCGAAAAAGGATTAAGTCAGTCAATCATGGCAGATAAAGTAGTTAATCAAGGTAGGTGTATAGATGGTATAACATGATAATTCACTTAATTACATATAATCAATCCAGCCTATTATCAACGATAATCAGGTGGAGTGGTAGTTATACACTCAGTACACTATATTAATTTTGGAATTTTAGAAATTATTCACCATATCTTGATGTCCGATTGGGCATATTCCTGGTTGGACAATTTCGGACGTTTGGAAAATAGAGTCTGGAATATACAGGCGAAATCCCTTCACTGGTTAAATCCCATTTCATTTCATGCTACCAGACCATTGTATATAAAATATATATTGATTGTACCAATAAATCATTCATTTTGTATATCTTGACATAAAGCCAAAATAATACTTCCAATTGGAATAGTTTTAAAGAGTCACATTTATATTTAGTAGTTTGGTGGATGGGACACATCTGTGTTGAGGTGGTGCTCGGGCAATGTTAGGATATAAATGAGAACAATTTCGCCTGTCAAATGGGATCAGTAAAACACTGGACTAAAATAAAATAATACCCACAATTTATTTTTCAAGAATAGTTAGAAAATTTGATGATAAAGAGATTATCATATTCCTAATCATAATAATGCATATCTAATCACCAAATCTATACATTGCTTGCATTTTAATCGGAGATCGTGTCCCTTTGCATTTTTGAATCGTAGCATGTATAAATTGCATGTTGGTTACAGAAATTATTTTAGGAATATTAATCCTTTATTTTAAATATATAACCACATCTTGTCCTGTTTCAAATATTTGCATGCTTCACTTAGAGAAAGGATAGAAAAAAACAGAAAGTAAGCAATATCATTGATATATGTTGATTATTAGATGCCGTCTTTAATTTTGTTTTATTTTCAGCTTTAATTATTAGGGTTGTGATTTTTGGTATTGATTATCATTAAGAAAACCTATCTATTGACCTTGTTTTTTTTACATCAATTGCATTGTTTAGTCTTTTATATTTTTTATGGTTATGCCGTGCACGTACTATTTACATTTGCTTTCCAAGCTCAATTATTCTTGTAAATACAACAACAAAAGAATTTATCTTGAAGTTATTTTATCAGTAATCGATAATAAAAACATAGTAAATTGTTGTAAACATTGATTTTTATACCTTGACCTATAAATCATAAATTCTCAAAGTATGTTTGTTAATATTTTTTTTGTTTTCTACACATCTGTATATTTTTCAAATTATATATGCGGTTGCAAAAGCTGTCTGATTAGATAATTAGATTCAAATGCACACAGCTTTGTAATGTGAAAATATGTCAATCTCGTAAATGTTAAAACTGCACAATAGCCTTAATTTAACTTTTCAGTATTATATCACTTGTATTTTATAATGATGAATATTTTTACTTCATCTCACTTTTTATTTATTAGTTATTGTAGATTAGCTGTAATTTTAAAGTAAATTATTTAATTTTATATCCGAAAATTTTGATATCACAATATTTGAAAAATGATATTGCAATATGGAGGAGATATGTTGTGATATTTTCATAAAACTATTTGACTGATTGGTTACCGGCAAATAATTTGTGCAATATTTTTTCAAAAAGAACAACACTGGCATTTTTTTAAAGTGTCCAGATCATTTTAGCACAATGTACAACGAGCTTTTGAATAAATAAATCTGATCACCAACAAATCACAGACAAATGCCATTATTTATTTTATTGAGAGTTGAGGCATTCTAGCAGTAGAGGTTATAATGAATCCCACAATATTTCATATTTTTGGTTTGGCATAAATATTAACCAGCGCTATGACACAACTTTCGTGCATTAAAATTCAACTGATAAGAATTGTTTCACCATGTAACATGTAGGTTTGTTACAAAATTTTCCGGTTTCCTCCCTCTGCTGAAAACCCCTATGTGCAAGTGAATTATTGAAATAAAATTGAAGCATGTCGTTAGTCACAAAATGACCTAGTTTATGTCGAGTGGACGTTAAACCCCATTTCTCTCTCTCTCTTGTTACAAAATTTGATCAATCCAAATACTATTTATTGAACAAAAGTAAAGTTGTCTTCCAAAAACTGTGCGGTACCTACTAATGGTAGCACTTACAATATTGCCAAAAGAATGGCCATACTTAATAAATTGTTTTGATAAATAGAAGAAAATATTAGGAACTACAAATGTCCAGAACTGGATGTTGCATGCTTAATAAAATTATTTGTAATTATTTATAGATTGTAGCTATTAAAGAAAAACAGTATGATGATGCTTTTACTGTGCAATCTGTAGATGGTAGTTTATGTAATATATTTAACTATATGGCTGGTATGGTGCCCTGTATACAGAAACTTGTTAATGATGTAAGTTACCCATTACAAAAACTGTAAAACAAATATTTGTCAAGAACAATATTTATCCCTATATTTGGAGAAAAGTGTAAAACAAATTTTTACGCTTGTAAGATTAAACCTACTACCTGCAAATGAAAATTTGTTTGAACAAAAAAGCAGCTCATCCCCCCTATGTTGTTTGTGTAACCTTCTAGATGAGGATATTGTACATATTTTATATGTTTGTGAGCAGTTCAAAGATTTGAGAGCTCATATATTCCCCGAAATTACTTGCGCATCCGAAGTAACATGCACAACTTCTCAAGTTTATGTCACTGTTTTAATGTCAAGGATATTATCTATTGTAAAGTATATCAATAAGGCCATGTATAAAATAGCTGATCAGGTTTAATTAATCAAAGCACTATGAATGTATTTTCAATTAGTTCTGAATTGTACATCCTTGAAAAATTGTCCTCAAATTTGTTCATCTACCACCACCTTTTACCATCATCAAAACGATTATTGCATATTTGTATCTTTGGGTCTGCGACCTTCAATACTGAATAAACTATATATATATATATATATATAACAATCTTGGATTTGTTCCTGAAGAACCTATAGGATTTTCTAGTTTGCCAGGGTTGGTGCCTTGGTTCTGACAAGGAAAGTGATGCTGCTGGGTAAAATGCTCAGTGTGTCAGCATAGAAATAAAAATTACAATATGTTAGTGTTAAAATTACTTTAAAAAAAATTGTCGCCAAGATTTGAAAATCCTATTCCAGTACCTAGCTTGTCTCAGTATTCAGTAGCCTTGAAACATTCATTGGGATGATGGAAATTTTCCTTTGAATTAATTTTAGAAATTTAGATGTTCAAAAAATATTTTTTCAGAAAAAAGATGGGTTGGTACTAAATGCTAAATCAACACATGAAGTAACTATGGTAAAACATTTTTTTTTCATTTCAAGATTATTTTTCTTTGATAAGCAGATTTTTGTCAATATTCTAGCTTAATCAAGACATTTATAAAAATAGATCTACTCGGCCACCTCAGGAAATTTTGTGAAGATTGTATAAGGATTGTGTTGAACAAAACATTTATTCCATTAAATTTTAAGTATTATGAAGTTAATATTATTTAATACAAAATGGAAAAAGCCTTAGGCCTAATTCTGTGGGTTATGAAATTGTTTTTGAGTGTTTATTTATTTTTTTTTTGGCAATTTTCAATTGTTTTTATTCTTGCACAATTAAACAAGTTCTATGATTGACAATTTTTAGAACTGGAAAGTCATTATTTGACTTTTCTAAACCTTAAATTATAACAATAATTGTTTGAATATTTCAGGCTTTACACGAAATGAGAGAATTTATGATAGTGAATAGTGAACCATCTAAAAACAGACAAAAACTCATGAGGAATTTACGGGTATGTATGGTATCACCTTCTCACTCTCATCCATTCCATGACCATGATCAGATTGTTTTGATCATTAAATATAAAGAGGCCTGGTTTGATTTGTTGTTTGGGGAGTTTTCTAATGGAAGCATGTTGTTATTGATGTTCTCATTAAGATATAGTCAGAACTATGAACAAGAGTTGTTGATTTGGATCAGGATCAACTCTCCTCTAAGATGATTTCTTTACATGTGTTATAATTGAGATGTGTATTCTGAATATTTTAAGACCGGTTCTTTTTTTAGATTGTTGACTTGTTGGTTCATTTGTTACGTATTCCATGTAGAGGAGCTCCTGATCAAATGTAAGTAAAGACAACTTGACATAGGATTTTAAACTGAACTTTGACTGAATTTAAGAGGTACGTTGCCGATCTCTGGTTTATCATTGATGAAATCGTGTTGAAAAGGTTTGTGTGACAAAGAGTAGGGTCACAGTTTGTTTCATTTTAAGTGAAACCTGTATAACCGTGGGCACGGTACAGTGCAGTGACGACTGCAGGAAATAACTTTAGAACTTAAATGAATCTGCAAAACAAAATTTACTGGTGTAAAAAAATAATCAACAGATATTTTTTTTTTCAGGCATCTGACAAAGATATTTGTAGAAGCGTATGCAGTTTTATATACATATCTAATGGGAGATAGTCGAAAGAATGAATTGTATATAGCTAAATACATTGACTTTTTCTTAACTCAGTTTGAATATAAAGAGGTGAATATAAATGCTTGTAAAGATATTCAAGTATTGAATAGATATATTGGATTATAATTTATACTGAAGGATTTATGCATTACAAACTTAATGCATATTGAAATAAATGTAACCTTTTGTAGTATGACTTACATGGATCATTTGTACAATGAAAATAGCAGATTATTGCGTAATTGTTATGTTATTAAATATGATAATTTGGTGGGTGGGTGGGGTGTGTGTGAACGAATAGTTAAAGCATGTGCGTTGGATCAGAAAGTCTGTCATTGAGTCAAGTGGCATGGTTACGATTACCCGCTCGTAAGTGACCATGTGGGTTTTCTCAGGGTCCTCTGGTTTCCCTCCACTGCTAAAGACCCCTATGTACAATAAAATTGAACCATATGCAAGTCCCAAAATGACCTAGTTTATATCTAGTGGTGGTTACCCCCCCCCCCTCTCTCTCTCTCTCCCTCTCGCTATCCTTAATTTATGAATCCAAAAAGACTGGATTAATAACTATTGCAGGATATTTGTTATTAAATGAGATAAATGCATACATGTATTTAATAAAAGTAATGAGTAGTTAATAAAATTATGCTTTGAATTTAATTAATGAATATGAATCGGAATGATCACATATTTGTATTGAAATAAATAATTGCAACAGATTCTATTTAACACACAGGTTTCCTTCATTTATGATTGTGTGGTAGTACAAGACTTTTGTGTGTAAAAGTTATCAGAAATATGTCTTATCTTGATCTGGAATTGAAGACAACCTAACTTTTAAATTATTATGAATTAATTACAGGGTAAAATTGGTTTAAATGCAGCTCACATGGTCATGGAATTAATCCGTGATAATCGAAAGATAGTAGATCGAATATCTCATCAACATATTGATAAATTTGTTGAACGTCTACGCAACGACAAGGTTAGTTATTATTTGTTACTTTTTCTTCAATTTGATATGGGGTGTGTATGGCCGAATGGTTTAATGCGTTGCCTCTGCTTTCCACCCACAGCTAAAGACGTTTATGAGATTGAACCATATGTTTGTCCCAAAATAACTTAGTTTGTGTCGCGTGGAGATTAAACCCATTTTAGGCCTATGTTATGTTATATTTTTAGAAATATCATTATTTAAATTTGTTATTGATTGTATGAAAAATTGCTTTTTAAGCTTGTGGTCCCTCTAGAGGTAACAAATTTTATCTGATTTAAAAAATGAGCCAATACAAGCGAGGTCTGGGAAGGCTTGGGGGTCCCTATTTTTTCAGTATTTCGGTAATTAGTTTTTATTTTGGTAATTAGTATTGGTTTTTTTTTATACGCCCATATTTTCATGTGGATGTATTATGCCGTCGCCCCTGTTTGTCCGTCCGTCCATTCACAATTTGTTTGTGGACACTCTACAGTTTACAATTTTTATCCGATTTTTACCAAACTTGAATATCTCCCAAAGATCTCGGTTCCTTTCGATATTGTCATGTATTGGACCATAACTTCATGGATTATGGCCCCTAATTGTACGAAAAACCACGTTTTTAGCTTTGTGGACCTCTAGAGGTCACAATTTTCATCTGATTTTGATGAAGCTTGAAATGCATGTTTATAACCCAAAGATCTTGGTTCCTTTGGATACTTGCGCATATTGGATCGTAACTTCCTGAATTATGGCCCTTGATTGTATGAAAAATTGCGTTTTAAGCTTGTGGTCCCTCTAGAGGTAATAAATTTTATCTGATTTAAAAAAACGTTCAAGTATATCAACGCTACGCCCTAATCATGGGTAGATTCGAATTTCATGAAAATCGGACCAAAACTGCTGGACAAAATGGCTGCCCCTTGTACGCAAATAGTATAAAAATATGGTATATCAAGGTTGTGAACCCTCTAGAGGTCACAATTTTCATCCGATTTTGATGAAACTTGGAATGCATGATTATATCCCAAAGATCTTTTTCCTTTCGATATTCGCGCATATCGGATCATAACTTCCTGAATTATTGCCCCTGATTGTACGAAAAATTGCGTTTTTTAGCTTGTGGTCCATGTAGAGGTCACAATTTTTATCAGATTTAAAAAACTTTTTAATATATCATCGTTACACCCTAGTGATGGTTGAGTTCAAATTTCATGAAAATCGGACCAAAATTCCCGCCCCCCCCCCCCGTACCAAAGATCTTGGTTCATTTCGATATTCACGCATATTGGATCGTAACTGCCTGAATTATGGTCCTTGTGTTTTGAGCTTGTGGTCTCTGTAGAGGTCACAATTTTAATCTGATTTAAATAAAAATGTGTGAATATATCACAGTTATTCACTAACGATGGTTGAGTTCGAATTTCGTGAAAAACGGACAAAAACAGATGGACATAATGGCTGCCCCTTGTACGTAAATAGTGTAAACATATGGTATATCAAGGTTGTGAAACCCTCTAGAGGCTACAGTTTTTTCCGATTTGTATGAAACTTTAAATATATGTTTCTGTCATAAAGATCTTGGTTATCCAAATGTAACTTCCTGGATTATGGCCCCTGATTGTTAAAAAAATCGCATTTTTAGCTTGCAGATTCTCTAGAGGTCACAATTTTTTCCGATTTTAAAAAACATTTAGATATATCACCATTCCATCATAATGAAGGTTGAATTCGAATTTCAGGAAAATCGAAATGAAACTGCCTGACAAAATGGCCGCTCTTTGTATGCAAATTGTGTATAAGTATGTAATAAAAGACTATGGACCCTCTAGAGGTTTTGATGAAACTTGAAACATATCTTTATATTCCAAAAATCTTAGTATCTGTTGATATTTGCACATTTCAGACTATACCTTTCTGGATTATGGCCCCTGATTGTACAAAAAATCCTTTTTGGTTTTAGCTTATTCTCTATCCATCTCTTGCAAAATGTGGGCGTGTCCTGCCTGGCAGCCGCTGGTTCAATATTTAGTGATTTTTCAGTATTTAGGGTTTTTCAGATTTTTTTCGGTATTTAGGGTTTTTCAGATTTTTTCGGTAAATAGTATAAAAAAAATTTTCAATTATTTTTCAATACTTTTCAGAATTTTTGGGGTATTCGGATATTTTCAAAATTTTTGTTATATAGTACCGTCAATAATTTTTTTATTTACAATTATTATAGTTTATAATAGAGTGTTATTTTTTCCAGAATTATGGCTGTTTAGATTTATTGACTATAATAAATATAATGTTATATTTTCAGAACTATCGTTATTTAGATTTATTGAGTGTATTATGTGTTTGTGATGGTGTATCTATAGCTGATAATCAGAAATATATCACGGAGGCATGGCTTATGAGGGGCAATAAGGTTAGTACTAAAAACATGAATAATTTTAGCTGCATGCGATCATCCTGTTTTATTATGGTTTTTTTTATGCTCACAAATCAGATGAGTGCACAAAACTGCATATTCCTGAAGCAATGGTTATTGGATCATTAACCATTGCCGCATTTAGATAATAATCATTGACAGTTTTCATTTGTACTTGCAGACAAATCAAAATAGTCGATATGTTTTTACTTCATAATTCTTTTGAACCCATGGGGTTAAGTACCATCCAGAAGAGCATAGGTTAAGATTTTTAGAATAGTTTAGTTCATTTCAGAGAAAAATTGCAAGTTTAAATCTTAAAGAGACTTTTCCATGGTGTCATTAGTGTTTAGCTTAAGTTGATGTGGAAACTCAACCCAGGGGAAGGTAGTTAATTCAGAAACAACATAGTAGGCATTGCAGTGGTTAATGAGCAGGTAGTGCATCAGGAATATAACAAAGCCGATTGCAATATATTGTGATAGTTTACTTTTGCACTATCCAAAATCTAAAAACATTATCTTTAATTGTGTACAACAATATTTAATTATTCTTTTCTGTCTGCATGTCTTTTTTTCTTACGAGTTCTTTGCATGCCCTCAAAACATATCTTTATAATATAGAAATGCCATCAGTAATATTGTTGCTTTGTAAAAAGATGCAATCTGGCATGTGGTTATTATTTCAGAGTTTAGATCATGTTAATGTAACTGCTGTAGGTCATGTGGTAGGTACAGTTCTATCTAATTAAAACACAGATCCTATTTCGTTTCGTTTTTTATAGTTCAAAATTTTGTTTTACTTGGCTTCCCTACACCAGGATCTGGAAGAGTCGTAAAATAACCCCAGTTATGGGTGATGTGAAGGATTAGCCAATCAAAAATTGTCTGTTGAGTCGAATTCTTATCTTCTTGTGAACGGAACTGTCGGTACACATTCACAGCAATAGATAATAAAACAAAGAAAAGTTCTATTTACGAATAGCCTCTTGGAACATTGATGCTGATTGGTTTACCGAATGACTGACATCATAGTCTCAAAAGTCGCTCACTTGACACCGGATGCTACCTCCCACTACAGCCGGTCAGATCTTAATGTAGTGAAGGCTATTGAAAGTATAATAACTGAAATGAAATATAGATCTGTATTTTATTTAGATTGAATACAAGTCATAGAGGTCCAGATTCTCAGGGCCCCACAAAATTACCTTTGTCATAACCTTAAGCAGAAGTCTCAAGCCTTTTCGCAAATCTTAAACAAAGATACTCCATTTCATTTCATTTAAAAGGATTCGATCTTTTCATTAGATTGTAACCTTGCAGAAGTTGACTTTAAGCAAATAAAAAGAGGGTTTCCTTTATGTCCTTATTGTTGATTTTCATAAGAAATACTCTTTTATTTCAATATAATATTCTATTATTTATATCTAGGGAATACTGTAGATCTCTAGTAGGAAATAAGATTATGTATTGAGATGAGACTTGACAAATGATGACTTAAGGTGTGGCAAATATGATGAATTTTGATAACCTCTAGTGTACCTGTGGCTTGTCATTCTGCACGACTTGAATTAATATTTTTTACATATTAGATATTATGACTGGTGTATAGTGAATTAATATATTATGTATGATATATTTTAATTCTACATATCCTGTGTTCTCAAACAAATATGCAGAAGACAGAATCAAACTAAATGTTTCTAAAAACAAAATACTGTGACATGATTCACTGAAATAAGCACTTACAGTTATATGTATGATTTATTTTTAAAATATATAAATACTATTTATATGATTCCCTTCCTGTTCTTGGTGAAAGAATGATTGCATACCCTGAGAACACATGATACTGTAGCTTTTCAATTGGATGCGACCAACTTTTGCTTTTAGATAGTGATACTAACTGTATCCTTATACTGTGTGATATTCTGAAAATTTGTCGAATATGATAATCTCTTTCTGGATATTGGTTGCGTTGCCTTTTTTATATGCCCACATTGAAGGCTTACCTTTTTTCAGAACATTCGATACCACATATCTACTTATGTCTGTGTAGTTACCCCCTAACAGGTAGTTTCTGAAATCTAAGTCAAACTATTACTCCAGTATGCTAAATCAGTGGGTGTCATGCATGACACAGAATATGCTTACTCTTTCTATACCATGTGATACTACTTCTGATTATTTGGGAATTTTGCATTGCTAAATAGTTCTAGTGTACCTTTATTAGTATTTTGTAATTTTAACCGATGTATTCCTGCTTTCCACTATATATATATGTTTAATTATTTTAGGAAGTTTCTATAAATAAGAGTTGGATCCTTATTCTTTTAAATTACAGCCTTATAAGCTTATATAGTGTATTATGATATCTGACATGTGATGTCATGGACTTGATACTATAGAGTTTAATTGTAGACATTCCGGTATATATATACAAAATATGAACTTAAACTACTACATGTATGAAATATTCATTCAAAAACAAAAGAGTTTATTATGGGATCAAAATGGTTTTGTTTTTATTATACCGTGAAATGCCTTACAACGATAAACTACATGTTGTGAAACGTAATTTGGTATTTAAAAAAATGGAACTGGAACTGGAAGGCTTATTTTATATCTTTTACAGAACTGTGTTTATTTGACTGATCTGGGACAAAAGATTGGAAAGAAAGAAGGAGTAGTATATGTCTCGACAAATGGTGGACGATTGTGGAAAGAACTTCAGGAGTTTGCCAAGGTATATGTTTACATCTTGATATTTGATTTCAGATATTGAAACTAGTGAATGGTGACAGTCGAGTTAATGTGAGCATGAATAAGCAAATATCTCCACCAATCACCATTGTTTGAACTTCAAAACAAAATGTCTGTTCACCGATATTCATTATGTTACGATTTCATTCACAAATCATAATATCGTACAATTAACTCAAGACAAAACAGATGTAAAATTTTAATTTTTTGTTTTTATTTCTTCAGAATTCTCAGGGAGAAACAAATGAAGAATATCTATTTTTAGAACATCAACTAGAATTATTTAGAATGCTATGTCATGTAAGTTCATCGAAAGAATTTAGTTATTAACTTTAAATATTTAAACTGTATCTAACTATTTCAAATTGTTGTGAAAATCTATCAAGTATGTGAAAATAAGAAAACTTTTATTTGAAAAGTAAATGTTGAATTCAAATTAAATTAATATGAATAATATAAATCTATTTTATATATCTTGGGATTACAGGGTCAGAATGAGTTTTCTGTAAAAGTTATAACAACCGAGTTAGATTATTTAACATGGGATGAAGCTTTTAGTTGTTTATCAGATACAAATCTACCTGATAGATTACGAGCTCAATATTGTGATCTAATTATAAGTAAGTATCACTTTTATTTAAACCTTTAATAGGCATACAGTTAAAGAAAACTGTGCAACAGGACAAGCAATTTACACTTTGACAGCAGAATTGTGTTCATGTTTCCAGAGAAAATATCGAATTTAAAAGGGAGAAATTAAAAAAAAAAATTCAATATGAAAAGTATTAAAATTGTGTCCTTTTACTAGAGGTGCTATCAAAATGAAATGAAATTGGGTTTTTACGTCCTACTGTTCTGCTCTGAACTGGGCTAATGAAGACTGGCATACGTCATACAGTGTGCTATGAGGGAAATTTTGCCCGGACAGAGGCACTATGGCCTACACTTATATCAAATTCCAACTGTCATTGGATCTTTTACATGCACGCCAATGTGTACACGGGACCTTGGTTTAACATCCCATCCGAACGACTAGACAGGCCCTCCGTCCTGTATCACTGACAAGGGGAACCACGCCTGAACATCTGGATGAACTTTCTCAGCCAATGCAGGGATCAAACACCAGTGTCTACCCACTAAGCCACCGTGCCCCCCCCCCCTCCAGGTGCTGTCAAGGAATTGTCAAGGAAATTGTTTAACATCAAGACTTCTCTTTTTATTTAGCATTTTGTAGCATTATAGCATTCTGAATGGATGATTGTTATTGATACTCAAAGCCCATTTGTAAGATGGTACCCATAAGAATATATTATTTATTTCAGCTTTATTTGTTGATATTGGTAGTAATATATCCGTCGTAGATCGTGTTTGTTTATCATATAATTATGATAAAATATCAAATGATGAAGTAAGTACATGTACTAATGTCAGGCGAAGATAGTATGTTTTACTTGAATTTGATAGATTTGTTTTGAAGTAACTCCTGCTTGTGTTTTCTGTAGTATTAATCAATTTAAAGCAAAGATCATAGGATGTTTATTTCTGAAGAATTTGTTTGAACTATGTATTTTCATTAATATTTTGATAATTACTACTTAAATATATTAGAAGCTCCCATTTTAATTTTCACAAACTGTATGTTACCAAAATGAAATTTGTCTTGACATCTCCTCTAAAGTATGGGCTAGAAAAATTCCACTGTTTCTTAAAGATTAATTTGACTTAGACAACAGTTGAATTTCTTGTTATGAAAATACAGAGTTTGGAATTTTTTTCTTTGAAATATAAAGAACTACTCTTTTATTTTCAGGCAAGAATAGATCAATCTGATTCACCTACATATAGATACTTCCCGCAACTACGAGATTGGATTGCTAACTTCCTTGGTACAAATGGTGATATGACTGCATCTGAGATTGGAAACAATATGCTAGTTCAACAGGTTGGTATGATTTATAGGTTTTTTTTTAAATATGATATCCATAGTTTTAAAAAAGAATATTATGTATACTGCTCTAATGTTAATATCTGTATGACCCTAATCAAATTTATGAACTTCGACTGTTTTGATTAATTTGGTTAGATCACTTTTTATATGTTAAGCATGGTTACCACTTATAAGTAACAGTTATGGTACAGATAAGAAGGTATATCTAATTATCGTAATGGTATGAAAAACATTATTACATTGCAGTGTAATAATAATTTCCCTGGAAGTTGAAATTTGGAAAATAACGGGTCAGAGTTAAAGAAATGAAATGAAATGAAATGGGGTTTAACGTCCAATATGTACACAGGACCTCAGTTTTTTGTCCCATCTGAATGACTAGACAGCTGTCCTTGTCAGGCCCTCTGTCCTGCATCAATGACAAGGGGAAACCACGCCGAAAATCTGGATGAACTTTCTCAGCCAATGCAGGATCGAACACCCGACCTCCGGGCTAGCGAGCCAGCGTCTTACCGACTTAGCCACGTGATCCCCCAGAGTTAAAGAAACCCCATTCTCTAACTGTTTGATGTTAAGACGAAATGTGTATTATTTTAGTTTAGTATGGTATTATTATTACAGGTATTAAGATTGGTGTATTATTTGGTTATGTATGGGTTTTACAACCAAACTGATGATATTCGTAAACTACTGTCACCATTAATAAGTTTATTAGATGGTAGAAATGACAAACCATATCCTAATATTAAAGGTAACATTACTTTTTTAATTATATAATATATTGCACTTAAATGTTTTTAATCCAACTGTAATAAAGTAAGTCAAAACTTTTTAACTTGATGGAACTGAAATGAACTAACTACTTAGGGTGGTAATCATTTTCATGAATGAAACATTTTGTTTTAGCAACTGCAATAGTTTTTAATCTGAAATGCCTGATATTCAAGTTACCACATTGCTTATAGCTCTTATTAGCAGTGTTGAACACTTTTATAATGCTTAGCCTTTTTGAGGGGTGGAATAGTGAAACTTTTCAAGAAAGATTTTTTATGTGCAGTTATTCTGTTTTTTCCCCCTCAATAATATGGATAATATTAATATATAAACAGGTCAAGAAGTAAAGGAAGTATTAAAATATTTTCATGAGGTTACTAGATATCAGAAGAGTCCTGAAACTAAAGCTATAGTTGATGCTAAATTACAGTAAGTTTACACTTTATTCCTGAATTGTTTTTTTTTTTCAAATTACCACTCCCATTGATGAGAATTTGGCTTAGTAGCACCTGGATTTTGGTCTTTAAGACCCAGTGAGTAAGATGTGGCCGAGAAGTTGTATATAAGGAGGACGAAAAACCCCATTTCATTTTCATTTCCTTTTAGTAAATGCAAAATGTATGTAAAAAAAGTACAAAAATTGTGCAGGTATGATGTTGACAATTCCATGATTTTTTATTCTTTCATTACCCCAAAGTTTGATATAATTGTTACTGCATGTGTAGGTTAGATTATCTTTGTTTTTTTATAAGCAGTAATTATAAGGGCATAGAATTCTATGTTAGCATTTACTGGATACATTTGAATTCGTTTTATTTTCAGAGCCCTAGATGTTTTGAATCTATTTTTCAACTTCATCTTTAATCTTAGAATGGAGGTATAACATATTTTTGGATTGATATGCTTTTCTGTAATGATTTTTATACGCCCACATTTTCATGTGGACGTATTATGCCGTCGCCCCTGTCCGTCCGGACGTCTGGACGTCTGTCTGTCTGTCTGTCCGTCCGTCCGTCCACAATTTGTTTGTGGACACTCTACAGGTCACAATTCTTATCCGATTTTAACGAACCTTGAAATATAGGTGTATCTCCAAAAGATCTCGGCTGCTTTCGATATTGGCATGTATCGGATCGAAACTTCATGGATTATGGCCCCTGTTTGTACGAAAAATCATGTTTTTGGCTTGTGGACCCTATAGAGGTCACAATTTTTATCCGATTTTGTTGAATCTTGAAATGTAACTTTATAACCCAAAGATCATAATTTTTATCCGATTTAAAAAAACGTATTATTATATCACCGTTACCATAAGGACGACTGAGTTCGAATTTCGTGAAAATCGGCCTAAAATTGACAGACAAAATAGCCGCCGTTCGTTCTCAAATAGCGTAAAAATATGGTATATCAAGGTTGTGGACCCTATAGAGGTCACAATTTTTATCCGATTTTGTTGAAACCTGAAATGTAAGTTTATAACTCAAAGATCTCGGTTCCTTTCGATATTTGCGCATATCGGGCCGTAACTTCCTGAATTATGGCCCCTGATTGTATGAAAAATCGTGTTTTTAGCTTGTGGACCCTATAGAGGTCATAATTTTTATCCGATTTAAAAAAATGTATAATTATATCACTGTTACACCCTAAGGACGACTGAGTTCGAATTTCGTGAAAATCGACCCAAAACTGACAGACAAAATAGCCGCCGTTCGTTCTCAAATAGCGTAAAAATATGGTATATCAAGGTTGTGGACCCTATAGAGGTCACAATTTTTATCCGATTTGGTTGAAACTTGAAATGTAAGTTTATAACCCAAAGATCTCAGTTCCTTTCAACATTCGCGCATATCGGACCATAACTTCCTGAATTATGCCCCCTGATTGTACGAAAAATCGCGTTTTTAGCTTGTGGACCCTATAGAGGTCATAATTTTTATCTGATTTTAAAAAACGTAGTATTATATCACCGTTAAACCCTAAGAATGGCTGAGTTCGAATTTCATGAAAATCGGCCCAAAACTGACAGACAAAATGGCTGCCGTTCGTTCTCAAATAGCGTAAAAATATGGTATATCAAGGTTGTGGACCCTATAGAGGTCACTATTTTTATCCGATTTTGTTGAAACTTGAAATGTAAGTTTATAACCTAAAGATCTCAGTTCCTTTCGATATTCGCGCATATCGGACCGTAACTTCCTGAATTATGGCCCCTGATTGTACGAAAAATCACGTTTTTAGCTTGTGGACCCTATAGAGGTCATAATTTTTATCCGATTTAAAAAAACGTATTATTATATCACTGTTACACCCTAAGGACGGCTTAGTTCAAATTTCGTGAAAATCGGCCCAAAACTGACAGACAAAATGGCCGCCCCTCGTTCTCAAATAGCTTAAAAATATGGTATTTCAAGGTTGTGGACCCTATAGAGGTCACAATTTTTATCCGATTTTGTTGAAACTTGAAATGTAAGTTTATAACCCAAAGATTTCGGTTCCTTTCGATATTTGCGCATATCGAATTGTAGTTTCCTGAATTATGGCCCTTGATTGTAGGAAAAATCACTTTCTTTTTAGCTTGTTCTCTATCCATCTCTCGAAAATGTGGGCGTATTCTGCTTGGCAGCCGCTGGTTTCTTCTACCATAAACTTGATGTTATCCATCCATAGTACATTGTAGCCACAGGATATTTCCTTTCTTTTTGAAAGAAAAATATTATCATTAATTTATAACTAGGCTTGAATTTAAACAAAGAAGAAGAAATCATCAATAATCACACAGTCTCCAAGTATTTTTTTTAAGTTTCAGTTTTTCCTTGAACCCCTCAGTATTTTGTTCTTAGTTTAAACAATCGTAAACAAACTCACTAATACTTCTGGTTGCATGCCCCTGTTATTGTAGCATTCTTTGTTTTACTTTAGTATTCCAGTAAATGTACTATTGTGCATGGCAACCTATCGAATTAGATGTTTTTCTATAAGACATTGCTTTACTGATAAAAGATTACCTGTTTTTTTCCGACATTTTATGGCTTGAATAACAACTGTGTTGAGGCACCAGGAATTGTTTAAACTACGAAACTTTTTTGAAATTTTATTAATAATTGTATTATTTATATAGATGATATTAATGTTTTTGTGTTATTTATTTGTCAGAAATTAATGGTATTATTTAAAAATACCCATGATCAAGCCAGTAAACCAAACATGTCACCACCAGAACTTGGCCTTCTTTTATTTGAGACATTCGACATTGAAAACAATTATTCGTAAGTTAACCAATATTTTCCATCTGTGTGACAGTATGTATCTGAATTACATATTTTTCTTTATAAATTTACATAATACAGTACCTGGTTTCACTAAACATGAAAGAGTTGTAAAAATCTACAAACAGAACTTATCTTAAATTTGAATGGTTGTAGTAAGCAATGCAGCTGATGAACAACTGAACAAACAGTGTGTGATAATCCCAAATATCATTGTTTTTATTGTGTTGTTTAACTTTATTTTAGGGTTTCAAAATCAGCCTCAAGAGTCTTAAACAATATTTTTGATGAAACAGAATTTTTCCGAAATTATGAAGTCACCCAAATTCTTTTAGTGAGTATATGAAATACATGTACGACATTGTATAACATAATCTTTTAAACTGTACCTGATACTCAGTATGTTGGACAGAGACGCGCGATTCCTGAGCGAAATGCACAAACCATGCCAAGATCGACTTCCTAAGTTTCTTTTGATCGCCACGTGCCGATCCACAAAGGCAACTTTCTGGACCTGTTATGAATAATTAGCAAGCATGTTTTGTCTTTTTACCGGATTATCAAAATTACCGTTACATATGTGCTAATTACTTAGATTATGAACCAATGGCCGATTCTCACTTAGGTATGACTGTTATTGTAGCCGACAAACAAGTTGATTGACTACTCAATCAACAAGTAATAATCAACCCGTTGTAATTTAGCTGAAAGTGGATTGATTTATGATCCTATAGTGGCCGGTTCATTGTTTTACCAATCGGCTTGATTGAACTTCAAGTGGCTAAAGCCGACAAGAAAACAGCCGATTAAGATCCCTGCCACAGACCTATCCTATGTTAGCCATTTATATCTGAATTGGGCATTGTACTTATCTATTATATATGTTTGTAAAATGGACAGTCCTCATGATAATTGATGAGGATGCCACACATTTACTCTGTGGTAAGTCAGTTTTTTTTTTACTTAATGAATATGCTGGACCTGAGGTTCTTCTACCATTATCAATAAGAAAACATTGATTTTGCCTGCCTTGATTGAAATATTTAGGCAGTAAATTGTACTGAATTAAAAATGATTATAATGTATCTTTTCAGGATTTATCTCATTATGATTATGATGGAATGATATGTAAATCTATGCATCTTTTAAATAGATTTTATTCTTTTCATCATAAACTCTTCAGTCAGGCTATACAAGCTCAGGTATGTATAAACTTGCCAACAATTTTTAAACATTATTAAAAAAAAAAACTCCAACCTTGGATTTAATCAAGTTAAAGACACAAGTATTGAAGAGAAAAAAATTTTTGGACTGATTGAATCTTTTCTGGACTAATATTTTCTTAAGAGATTTAATTTTACACTATTGTAGTTTGAAAAGTTATATGAATCTTGATTAGATTACATGAACATTTTAAATTTAAAAAATAAACACTACCAGGCAGATTTTTACAGTTTGAAAATCTTAAGAACCGAATCGAATAGATTCTTCATCTGGAAAATAAAATCTTGATTTTGATTTGCTACAGTCAAACTAAACTAATTGTATGTTCGATGATGTACTTGTAGATGTTACATTATATTAAATTTTTCAGGTTCTGATCACTGATGCATCTGTTGACATAATGAAGAGATTGAGTGTTATTTTACCAACACTCCGTCGTCTGGCAACAGCTAAACTAAATGATGAACAAACAAAAGAACTAGATAAAATCTTAGAGGAGCTCATAAAGTAAGATTTATCTTCAATATAGGTTTTAAATAACAAAATACTTTTATAATAAATAAATATGGGAGGTATTGAAGGATCGTTTCTATTAATCCTTGTTATATGTGTGTTCAATTTAGTAAGATTCATATAGCTCTACTGATGTTGTCTGTTCAACATGCAGAATTATTGTTAATGTGGAAAATTATATTGATTATTGATGCTGTAATTAAACAACATCACAGGTCAGAATTATTAGTTACAATGCACTTGCTTACAGGCAATCATCAGAAGCTCATAAGCCCCCTTATACTCCTACCCCCTCTTATACTCCTGAAAACTTATATTTGCCAACCTCTAAAACAATCAGATCAGAAATGATAGCACCATTTAGTTTATAAGATTTGCAATTTAGACTCTTGAGAGTCATTGTAACTTAGTTGTTTTTTTTAACTTTGGCCAAACTTTGGCTTTTCTTTTCTTATGCATGCCTCCGAAAAATTAATTTTACCAAAGACTTTACTTTATTCAGAAACTTCTGTTGTAACTTTGGAAACAAAAATTGAATCACATAGAACTTGCCCCAGATAGCACATCAGATCAACCCAGCTCAATACTTTATTTGCACCTAAATCAAAGAGGATTCGAGCCTTTAAGAAATTAGGCAATGTATAATTGTTTCTCCTGTTTTTTTTAATTTCAGGATGTGTCAATTAAAAGGAGAGGACAATGAAAGTCACCAGATGAATCAGAAAATTCTTTATAACCATGGAGTTCTAGAAGATGCTTTAACCATATTATCACAAGCCATAGATATTAAATTATTGGATCAGTATGGTGGCTTAAAGAAGATATTCCAGAAGACGTTTATATTATTACAATCTATGACGTTAAATAATAAAGTTGTACAGAGAAGATTGTTTGATAGATTAGAGATGTTGTTATATAAAGAAGGTGCACCAGCAGAATTAGCTGATCTATTGACTGAGGTAAATTAATATTTGTAAAATACAACCCTTGGTTAAGACTCATGACATGTAAGAGCCTAGTTGTTTTTGGCTCTGATGTGGTCCCTGTTTAAAAACATTGGGAAGCAAAGCATTGAACAAAGTTTGAACATTTCCTTTTTATTAGGAAATAATGGAACTGTGGTAGACAATTTGTCGATCCATGCCTTGAAAGATTTAGTTGGCATCATATGTGGTCACTCTGAAGAACATATCCCATGTCCCAGAATAAGTTGAACACACCATATGATTTTAGTAATGGCTCCTACATCTCCACTATAATATATTAATTCTTGTATTTAACAGATATTTACAGGCAATTCAAATACGTGTATGAAAATTCAAAGTCACCATGTACAGAAAATTGTCAGTTTAATATCCAAACATAAATCAGCAGTTCCACAGTTTCTCAATTTATTGAACGCTGTGGTTAAAGTTGAGGAATTAGATCTACCATTGAAGAGAAATCAGGGTTTCGTGATGACATATTTCATGCAGTATAGATCAGAGATTGCTTACATCATTGATCAAGATGAAAAAGATAGGTAAATAATATTTTTATGTTAAATTTTTATTAATGACTGGGAAAGATGTCTGTACTTTGCAAAAACAAAAGAACCTGTAGTCAGAAAAACAATAAGGTATATAAAATTTAACTATATTATAATTTCTTCCCGCCAACTGGGCTCTATATATAATTTTTGTTGTTATTTTCTAGAGAACAAGTGTTGGTATCCAAAAATTCAAAAGAACTTGACTACATGATAGCAATGGTTGATTTATTGGCCACATGTGCAGAAGTGAGTTAATATAATTTTGTCATACTTGTGAGCTAAATAATTTATATATTTTATGAAAATCACTATTCTGAGTACTATCTGAAAAATTATTGGTCAATATTTAAAATATTTCTATATATTTTTATTAGGAGTAGAAATATTTTTGCCTCATTTTAATTCCAGGGAGAGAATCGTTTTATAGAATCGATTTGTCAGACAATATTTAAGATATCTGATCTGATTGGTGTATTAAACAACAAGCTGGTTTGTGATAATTTAAAGAAACCATTTTTGCGTTTCTTACTATGGGTTTATATGAATACAGCTAGTGGTATGATAGAGAGTGGTGCAGGGGATCTCCCCCATGATGCGTAAGTTATTGATTATTTTCACATTGATTATTCTGTTTATATTTTGATTACATCTATTTCCATTTATTCTTTAATTTGAAAGTAAATTAGCACAACAGTAATTGACATAACAGTAATTGGATATTAAGGAAACAAACATAATTGTTGATAGTAACATCATATCACAACAATATCTAAAGAAAAATAAGTTTCGGATAATTTAAGTTCCAAGTTTGTTTGGATAGATATGGTTGCATGGTTGATCCTCTTGAGCTTTATTTATACTTAGAAATGAATTATCCCTTAATCTTTGACTGATTTGGCTGAAAAAATAAAGATGTCAGAAAGTAATGTGAACTTTAGAAGACCATAACTATGTTAGGATTACTTGATTTTACTCAATATTTGACTAATAGACTTTGGTCTGATAAAGCTGATTTAATCTAAAATATTTAATTAAAGAGCACTTTATTAATTGCTACATGCATCAATTTCTGTTATCAATAGAAGTTAAAAAGCATCCATCAGTAGATAAGTATTAAATTTTATTTCAGTAAAATGTGGGAATTCTTGAATTCTATAACACAGAAATTAAAGGAAGTCAAATTATTTGTGGAGAACAATAAAGAAAAAACAAAACAGTTGTTAAAAGGGCCACCAACGAAGAGGTTTGTGGAATGCTCAATTCTTCAATTTTGCTAATTTATTTTTTGTTGCCTGGCATCAATACAAAATGACAAATTTTATTCAGAAATATTTATTAATTTAAGCTTTTATTTCTCTGATGAATATGGAAAATATTTTTAATACAATCACTTGTATGCTGTGTGAAGCTTTATTTTGATGAGTGCATTTTCATTTATCACTGTTACGACATATTTCACATTAGTAGACTTTCCACAGAGAACAAAAATGGAGCCAGGGAAAGCTGTGTTAGGGCATTTTCAGTGGAAACAGCACTATTATTATATATGTCATATTAAATGCAATGACTATTTTTTTATGTTTTTTTTTATATTCTTTTCAATAAGCTCTTGCACACTACAAAGAAACTAATAAACCTCTTTGGTTCAGGTCAAATTAAAGTACTTGTATTTAATTTGTTTATACATTGATTTATGATACCATAGTGGCCGGTTCATTGTTTTACCAATCGGCCTGATAATTAATTCTTTGTAAATCGGCCAAAAGTAGATTGATTTGTGATAATTTAGTGCCCAGTTCATTGCTTTACCAATCGGCTAGATTAAAGATCAATCGGCTAAAGCTGACAAAAAACAGCCGATTAAGATCCATGCATTTGTCTGTGTTTTTTTTAGATACTTTTAATACCATATTTGGCTTTTAACTCTTGACACAAAATCAGTTATAAGATCTCAACATTGGTTTTTTTCTGATGTTACACAGTATCACCATTATTTTTTTTTTTAAATATTGACTTTTACAAGAATGACATCTCTTCTAGTCTAGATCATACCAGCTCAAATTGTCTTTTCTCCGACTATATTACTGTAACAAATATTGGCCTGACCTTTGACACTGTACAGACAGCACAATTTTATTCAGATTAATTAAAGTTTAAGACAGTTAGACTGGGCGATCAAGACTATATCTGTTCTGAATGAATGAAACCTGACCCAATCTTTAGTTTCTTCACAGGAATATGGTAATGACATTTTTGCATGATTTTTGAATCTCCTATTGTCTATTTAATTTCTATTGTGTTTTTCTGTTTATTCTATATTTGAACAGCACCCATGAAAGCACAGAAGGCAGGTTAGTTGCACTTTTATCATCTTTTAGACATTTTCACCCATTTTCAATTTCTCCTCCTGTTCTTACTCAGAGAACTTTTAAGGAAATATTTCAACTTTTTCACATATTTACAACCTCCTCTCTTAATCCACATGATTACGATTTCAATCATGTTTCTTGAGACATTTTTATATTATTCTACTGTATAGATGTAAATGCCCACTTGCGGATCCAATAATATTTGCAGGAGGGAGTTTGCCAGGTTCCTGTTTAGGAAATTTGACATTTTACAATGCATGATGCCATCACCGTCTCCAAAATATGTAGGCATACATACACACTGAGCTTTGAAAGAGAGAAATCAAACACCCTGTTTGACGTCAATTTTTATTATGAATTAATAGGATCACATTGTGATTGAATTTCATTGATGCAAAGCATTAATTGTGATATCACATATGTCTATATCTGGTTTGGCCCCTGATACCCTATGCCCCATAATCTAAAATAACGTTTTGAGAAACCGTCCTGTCCTGATCAGTATTTTTATTTGCTTCCTGACATATTCTCTTGTTTTTCCTAAGTTTTGGGATTTTGTTTTTATGAAGAATAATGTCATTGTAGTATTTTTATTTATTTTAGTGATCAAGGTAAAATTGAAACAGAGAGAATGAGAGGAACAATACACTATATATTTTTATTTATTTTAGTGATCAAGGTAAAATTGAAACAGAGAGAATGAGAGGAACAATACACTATATATTTGATGGTGTTATGCCATTTTTACAGGTAAATATATATTTGTTTGATCTAAATGATATTGCCCAGAATTAGATGTGTATTATACTTGGATACAATTTTCAGTTTTGATTGTTATATCATTTTACACATCGCATATGATTTCTTGCTCCTTGAGTTTGTCTAGACATGATCAGTGGGAGCTGGTAATCAAAAGGGTGCAGTGCTTTCTTTAGGTATTGTGTCACCTCAAGCAGCTTTACCAGGAGCTATAAATTTAGCAAACTGGAAGATGAATATCGCAAAAGAATCATGCTTGGTGTTCTGATAGATGACGACGAGCAGACAATAATCCACCAACAAACTTTAATTGACAATGACTTTTTTTATTGGCATCTTACTGGAACTATTAAATCAGAAGAAGCGAAATAAAGTTCCAAAGATAGAATATTATGCAAATCATACAGTCCCTCAACAAAAATTGTATTATGGGATTCCTCCCGAAGTAACTGGCACCTTGGGGCAAGTTACCTTCAGCATGGAGTGAGTTAGTCATTTAAATGACGTCATCACTAACAAGAATGCACAGGTGGAAGCTTGAGTAAACGCGGCGCTAGTAATCAAACATCCTCAAGGCAGATTGCATAGATATCTGACTTTTTATTCTCAGCAGACCTTTATCTAACTGATCTCCCTCTACCGATATACACAAATTTATTGTCATAATGGATAATAAATATGTTATTTTATTTTTCTTAAAGATATTTTGTCGAAGTTACTACCAACCAGATTCAATGTTTCCTAATGAAAGTAAAGAGTTGTCAGCCCTTGCTGTAGCATTTGAGGTAAATTAGATACTTATCAGAAGAGAAAGTGATCGATTGTCAGTATAGAATACAGAAATGTTCTGAATTAATGAAATTGGTATCACGTTCAGGGAACTTGTTTTACCTGATCAAGATGGCATCTTATTGAGGTGGCACAATTTGGGGGTTGATTATTATACTATTTGTTCTGTTTTTCAGGCATTCCTTGATCTGATTGCTCCATTAATTAGTGATGAACGACAGATGAAGAATCTAATAGGTGCAATGAGAGCTTTAATAACAGCATCAAATGCTATATCTAAAAATGTAAGAATATTATATTTTCACATTGTTTTTTTTTGTTTCTTCAATGTTATTTGTTTAATATTTTTGCTGATGTGTTTATAACTGTTTTTAATTGACTTTGTAGAAAATGGAAGATTTCTTTGAGAAATATGGTGGAAATAATAATCATGATATTCAAAGTGATGCCAGAAAGGTGAGTAACAATTTGAAGAAAGTATGATGTGAATTGTACCTATATTGCATCATGCTGTGGAAAAACAAACAGGCACTAATTCTCATGTCAGTTTCAGCGGCACAGGAACATCCAAGGGGCAGGGGGCAAGGTGTATGCGTTTGTTGGGGGTTGGGGGGAGGCAAGTGAGTGGCAGGATCAGGGTCTGTTGTCCTCTTTAACGAACACTGCTTTGTGTTCGATTCTATGGAATTCTCATTTGAAGACCAACATTCTTTATGTAAAGATGAACTCATTGTAATATTTAAAAAGAAACATGAATATGTTAATACGGCCCAAAACATTCTTGTCGATGTAGGGTTGGGAGATAATGAAAAAAAAAAATATTGGGATGTGATAATAACTTGTCAAATATCACGATAAACGATATTATCGAGATAATTTATACATGTGTCTTAAGAAGTCAAATTTTGATTACTTGGGCAGAAAATCGTCGATTGATGTCAAATTATTGTTGCTAACGTCGGTAGATGCTATGATGGAGATTAACCCTAGACCAGTTGATACTTATAATTAATAATGCTATTTTTACTGATGAATGTGATTCTATCAATAGAATGTCATACAAGTTAGATGAAGTAAAATATTAATAACAGTAATATGTTAACATAACTGGCAGGGTTCTAAAATCTACTTTTTGATATTTTGCATGACCTCTCGCATTGCCATTTCAACATTGTTCTGTGGACTACAGCATTACTTGTCTTGCGAAGGTGATGATATAGCATATATATTATCATCAATATTGGGACACGATAATTATTATATCGCTATGATTTTCTGGTTTATAATATTTTTATATAAATCTGATATGAAAAGATTGACGATGATTTTATCACGATAAATGTAAATGTTGATTTTCTTTTTATTTCAGAAATATGATGAATATTATGCTGCAGAAGAAGAGATTAATGTTAATTTGAATATATTTGTTGTGAATATGGAGTTATCTTATGGTGGTTTGAATACTGTAGAATACCAAATAGGCTACCCAAGTGATAAAGGTATGTCATTATCCAATAGTTCTAGTAGTATAGGTAATAGATATTATTTTCATTAATGTATTAGTTGAAACAAAGACAAATCAGATATGATGTCATTTATCCAATAATCCTAGTAGCATACATAGGTAATAGATATTATATGTTTCAATAAGGTATTAGTTGAAACAAAAACAAGCCAGATATGATGTTAAAACATTACCTATTGATCCATGTTGATGTCATTTTTTAATCAGAAATATTAAATATGTGAAGCCTAGAGTTACCTCCCTGCATCAGGATCACAACACACAAATTGTCCACACTATGTATAATTGTACAATATCCTATGTTTTGGTCCAGGGTTTAAACTTTGGTTGATTTACAAATGGTCTTGAATTGAATTTTTCCTTCCGGAATAGTGAGCCGCGGTGGCTCAGTGGGTAAGACTTTGACTCACTAACCTGGAGGTCTTGTGTTCGATCCCTGCATATTGGCCGAGAAAGTTCATCAGCGCGGTTTTCTCCTTGTCAATGGTGCAGGACCGAGGGCCTGGCAAGGGACAGAATATAGTCATTTGTATGGGACAAAACACAAAGTCCCATGTACACATTGGATTGTACATTAAGTTCCCTTGGCAGTTGGAATTTAATATAAGAGCAGGTTGTAGTGCAGCTGTCTGGGCACAATTTCCCTCATAGCACACTGTATGGCATATGCCTGTCTTCATTAGCGCAGTCGGAGCAGAGCAGTAGGAAGTTACATCCCATTTCATTTCATTTCCTTCCAGAATATGCTGAGCAGGGTGGGGATGAAGATTTACCATTAGGTCTGGAATTTCAAAATCACCTGAAATGTTTCATTAACCCAAATACCAGGAATCCTGCACTGAGATATAAGCTAGCTGAGAAATTGGTGATGCAACTCAAGTAAGTAGTGAAATATAATATCCAATGAATGTATTTTCATTAATACAAGAAATCAAAAACTTTATAAGAGAACTGCTGTTATAGAGTGGGTCAGGTACTGAACTCTTGAGTACGATAGTTTGTTAGTGCGGCACATAAAACAGAAGTTCAATCTTTGTCATTTTTATTTGCTCTCAAAAAAGAGATATGGGATTTGTATATTTTTATAACTTATAACTGTAGGGAAATGGGAGAACTTAGGGAAAACCCATGGGGTTGCTTCTTATACCAAAATGATATGAAACTGAACCATAATTTGCAGTGCATGCTTTAACCACTTGGCCCACCAAAAGAACAAGAGTAGTATACTGTTTATGATTTGTATCTAAATATTTTCAGAATATCCAGTAATTTAAACAACTTAACCGAGAAACAAAGATTAGATCAAACAGAGTTGGATATCAAATGTCTAAAATTACTCCGTGGTTTAATACATAATGAAATAATCAAACTACCAGTAGATTGGGAAGTAAATATGAAAGCAAACAGCAGGTAAGACATTTGGGGTGTTTTAAGTTACTGAACATGCTCTGTCTACTCTAGTAGTTTGGTGTATGTTAGTGTATGGTAATTTGCAGGAATTCTTAGGTTAACCCTAGTTTGGGAAACAAATTTGGCCAAGAATTAAATCTTGTTCTGTTAATGATTCACAGTCCATTTATTGGTATCAGTAGTCTGCCCTGGCAATATGACAAGCAAAAAAATGGTTTGAAATTTCAGCAAAAATGTATATTAATATATTCTTATCTTTGAAATATCCTTGAAGTTAATCTCAGAATTGGTTAGGAATATGGAAGGGAAAATATTAAACAATATTTATTTACCAGTTTATGGTAAAAACAGTGTGCTGCTCTGCTCTGGCAAAATTATCTCTTTCATTGTACAAATTTAATTTGTACAAATTTGTATAATTATTTCTAAATATTGATATATTGTAGACAACTAGAAGTAATAGAATCTGTCCAGATAGCCATTAATTCATATGGTGTTGTTGATAGTGTCAGTACACATCTGTCTAGTTCAGTTGATGACATAGTACGAGAATTATTAGCTTTTATGTGTGCGTTATTATTTGGTGGAAATGAAGCAGTTCAGGTAAGTCAAGCCAAATGGTACAATTTTGAATTGAGAACCTTGACTACTGGTTTTTTTTTTCTTTTGAAATGATATTTTCTTTTGTTTTTGGTTAATGTCAGATTAATCAGAAAATTAAACTATTCTAGATCAATCAGTCTGCTATATTACTTTATTGTTTTACAGACAAAATGTTTTATATTTGTTGTATTCATGTTATTATAAGCAGTAATTGTAATAAAAACACCTTACTTTTAATGGAGGCCAATTTATCAAGCCAGGCATTTTTGATGCTACTTAGTTCGGATGAAATAATATGAGCAACATGACAAGCTTATGTTCATTGATAAATGGGCTACATAATATATAATCTTTTAGTGCATTTAACGATATTATAAAATGTCAAATTTATTTTATACATTACAGAATAGTCTGTTTGAGTATTTTACTGGAACAAGAGAAGAGACATTCTTTTTTGCTATAAAAAATAGAATGCAACTATCAGCCTTAGCAACCAGAGAAAAGTATGTATTTCTATTTTACATGTAAAATACCCAGAGTCTGTCTGTCACACTTTAAATTGATGTTTATTAGGATGATGGAAGTTAACGACAAGCATTTTCTGCTTAGGCTAAGCAGAGATGACACATTGGTTGTTGATGCTTTGGACACGATACCTTTGAATTCTTATTGATCACATATATAGCTTGTCCCATTATTAAGAACACAGGGGGGGGGGGGTCACGGTAGGTAAGACACTGGCTTGCTAGTCTAGGGGTCGGGTGTTCGATCCCTGTATTGCCCGAGAAAGTTCATCCAGATTTTCCGGCATGGTTACCCCGTCAGTGATACAGGACAGAGGGCCTGACAAGGACAGCTGTCTAATTGTCTGGATGGGACGAAAACCTGAGGTCCCATGTACATATTAACGTGCACTTAAAAGATTCCTTGACAGTAGTGCCGCTGTCTCGGCAAAATTTCCCTCATAGCACACTGTGTGACGTATGTCCGTCTTCATTAGCCCAGTTCGGAGCAGAACAGTAGAACGTTAAACCCCATTTCATTTCATTTTTGTTGCTTTAAGAAATATGTTTTATTTCATTAATTACAGACGTCTCCTAAATGCTCAACATCAAGCTAAGGTTGATGAAATGATCGCTCAAACTAAAGCTTTACAGAAAGCCATGAAAGAAGGTGCGGTTCCAGCGGTAAGTAAAAGTGTTGAAAAATTAGTTTATATCCCCCCCCTCCCAAAGCTGTCAGGGCAAGATTTCATACACTTTTTCCCAGTTGGAGCAGAACAGTAGGACATTAAACCCCACTTCATTTCAGTTTGTATACTCCTGTTCAATCCATAGATGAGATTTACCTCCCTTGGGTATCTCCCATATAATCTTAGGTTTGAACATGAAGTACAGATGATAGTAAAGTGAGAAAGAGAGAGATGGGGTTTGAACATCCACTCGACACTAACTAGGTCATTTCAGGACTAACATACAGTTCAGTTTTATTTCAATCAATCTCTTACGTGTAAGGGTCTTTAGCAGTGGGAAGAAACCGGACGACCCAGAGAAAACCTACGAGGTTGAACAGGCCAGTAAATTAAGGAATAAAAATCTAATCTGTGCAATGATTATCCTACTTTCTTTTGTATTAAATACACATTTTTCAGAATATATGAATTCATTCACACAACCTTCTGTGTACTTTTTTTTATTATTAATCTAATTAAATGAATATTGTATGTTTTATATCTATTAAATTTTTATTTTTGCACCTTTTTCTCTCTTAGGATGCATTTTTAGCTAGTCATCTTGGTTCTATGTTATCTATGGCCAAATCTCGCTCTAGTTTAAAGGGCTCATCCTTATTTAAGGTAGGAAATCTCTCTTTAATTAACTTGTACACTTTACATGATTGTCTGAGAGTATTATTTTTTCTCTGAATTAAAGGAGGTGGTCTGCCTGTTTCTATATTAAAAAAAAACAATAGATAATGATGGTTTCTAAAAGTTATAGGCTTCCCGGTTCAAATACTGTGTAGATTGGTCCTATTTGTTTGTCAGCAGTTTCAACCCTGACAATTGTTTGGTTTGTTTTGCCAGTGACGTCATAAACAAAATCTTTGGTTCACTGTATCAGTAGAGATATCAAATACTTAGAAAGTTTATCCAAATAGTTATTATTGTAAACTATTTTTTTGTTTTGTACAGAACTTTAATTTTCTTACTTTTATTTTATTTTCTGTGGTACTAATTTGCTCTTATTTTAAGCACTCATTAATATCCTTTATTTAATTAAGAATTTGGAAAAAAGTAAATTTTTGATTTCTCTTTAACAGAAAACTAACAAGCTTGGAATTCCAGAGCCCAGGTATGGTAAAGGTCGTTCCCCAAGAGGAAGTCAGTTATTAATTGCACCACCTAATTTGATGAAGAATGGAAGTGCTGTATTTTCTGATTCTGGGAAAAAAGACATAGTGCCCTTTTCCAAGAAAAAGTCTTCTGTGGCTCCAGCCAATGAAGAAGAAGTGGACATTAAGATTGATGTAAGTGCTTTTTTTACTATCAAATATCAGCTTGAAGCTAAATAATAAGACAGTCTGATCTGAAATCTAGTTTAATTCTGCTTGTAACTGTAGTAAACAAAAATAATGACATTAAAAAGCTGTTATGATGCACAGGTATACTCAACCATTGACTAAAATTGCTTTGATGTTTTCAGTGTTTTATGTAGTTATAGGACCTTTATGTTTTCAGTGTTTTTTTTCTTTTTTGATGTTCAAGATGCCTTATGTTAGAGACATATTGTTTATCATTGTAGCAATGGTACTTGACAATTGAGACTATTTACACAGTATATCTTGTCAATACTTCGAAACACACATAACATCGCTCGGAATAAAGTAATTTGACTGAAATTTTCAATAGTGTTGTTTTTGTTTTTTGATGTTCAAGATGCATTAAGTTAGACATTCGTAGCAATGGTACTTGACAATTGAGACTATTTAGAATAAAGTACTTTGACTGAAATGTTCAATATATTTATTCTTCATTATCTATTTTCATGAACTACTATGAGCTCTTTATCTAAATCTTACATGTAATTGTAGTCATTTACACCCTACTGTAATGAAATGTTTATAATATTTCATGAAAATTTTAAACGTGTATAAGTATGTGATTATTTTCCATAGCAATTAGATGAAGAAGAGTTAGCTGAGTTAACGAGCTATGCTGTACAGATGACAGATGATTTAGATTTTAAAGATGATGGTTATTTGGAATTAGTATTACGAGTTTTAGGTTTAATGTGTGATAATCAACATAACGGTATTCAGGTAATATAAATACTATATATATTCTCATCCTTATTGGTGTTGGCTTTGTGCTCCAGTCCCTATTTGGTTTTAAATGACAATATTGATGCCAGTCATTATCACATAATATGTGATAGCACTGACTAAACACATTCCAAGTATTATTTTATCACAGAGATCATTGCTACGATAGATTCGTAATCAATGCTTCAACAATCGAAGTGATAAATGCAAAAGGAAAACACAAGTTATCCCTCTATATAACTGACTGAAGTGACGAGTGATAACAGATACATGGGCGAATTTTTGCTCACTAATAATTTCTTTGAAGACCAAAAGTTGTTATATGAGATTGTAAGGGTATATCTGACAATTCAAAAAAGTAATTGAATGTCATTAGATAAGAGAACATGAGAAAATAGAAACAATCCGTACATTCACGTGTGTTTATTCATTCTATACTTATAAAAACATGGTAATGCACAGACTTTTTCTATTTTTCTTTCATGTTCTCGTATCTAGTGACAGTCAATTAGTTTTTATGATTTGTCAATTATCCTTTCACAGTCTCACACAACAACTTTTGGTCCTCAAAGGAATTATTAGTGAGCAGAAATTCGTCCATGTATCTGTTATCACTCATCACTTCAGTCAGTTATATGGAGGGATAACTTGTGTCTTCTTTCCTTTTGCGTTCGTCACTTCCGATTGTTGTAGCAATTGATTGTAAGAATGATCTCTGTGATAAAGTAATATTTGGAACGTGTTTAACCAGTTCTATCACATATGTGATAATGACTGGCACCAATATTGTCCTTTAAATCATAATGTACATTACACAGAGTATTGTTGGCTGCTTAACGTCAGACAACCCTCCCCCACACTCACCTACTACTATAGTGCTCTATGTGCATGCAAATTGTTAAAGTGAATAGATATACCATGTTTTAGTGAGTAACCAAGTTATTTTGGGTGTAATTTTAAACACCATTTCTCTATTATCTTCAATGAGTCAATCTCCAATAATAATACAAGTCTGGGTTAACACTTCCAGCTTATAATTACTATACATGTTTTCCCACTGTCTTTGAGCTTGATGCAGCTTCAGTAAATAAGACTTGGAATTCCTCTGCATTGACAAACATTAATGATTACTCAAGATATTATAAAAAGTTTATATATTATGATATATTAATAATATTGTCTGTCCAGATCTAGGCCTACTTCTTTGATGTTGAAATTACATTTTGATTAATGTAAGTATATTTTTACAGAATAGATTTGATACTTATTTAATTGGGTTTTTTTTTCAGAATTATCTACGAGAACAGCCTGATAATATTAAATCTGTGAACCTTGTTGCAGAAACGACCAAGTTTCTCAGTATTCTGTATTCAAGTATTAACAATAATACTATTTCACTCATTATAGAATTATTTGATACATTGGTTGAATATACTTCTGTAAGTAGGACTTTTACTTTAAATATTATACATGATGCTATTAACATGTTTAACTGTGTTTTTCTTACAGGATTTTATTTGGCATATTGATATTTATTCTTGAGATTTACCACAAATGTAACATGCTATTTAAACCTTCAACACAAGGCACAAAATATTTTGAGAAAGGTGTATTAATGCAGGTACATCCCTGGATAGACCGAAACTGTCTGAAACTACTGTTTCTTAGACCACCTCAAACCACTCAAGATATTTGGTTAGCTTTCCGTATTATAGGACCATTTATTAATTTGTGTGGGCGCAACAGCTGTGCACTTGACAGGGCTGTTTGTTTGTAGTGAGAGCTAGTGTCATGTAATGGCTTATAATTAAACATGGAACATACCAACTGGCATAGCCGGGTTATGTGTTTGAACTAAAATATTTGTGTTATTAAGTTAAATGTCACTGCTCTTGTACTGTGTATAAATGTTCATGTATTTTTCAGGGTAATTTCGATAATCAGACTGTTGTATTTGATAATAAGATCTGTGATTATATCAATCATATTCTAAGATCAGAAATTTACAAAGGTTGTAAATTGGAACAGGTTGGTATATGTATTCTTATTTGAATAACTTTATGTGATAAAATAAGAAAGTTTGCAATAGGTAGATATAAAGCAGGTATCAGTTTCCTGAACAGATTTTATAATGTCTTTGAATTAATTTAATATTTAGGCTACATTTGAATATTTTTTATTGAAGCCAAGAGTTGTTACATAATATAAAATGTTAATTTCTTACTGTTTCAGATTTATACGCTAAAAAAGTCAATAGCTACGTTAATACGATCTTTAACAGAAGAAACTCCACCAGTTAATGTCGAAGATGAAACTACATTATTACAAGTAAGATTATGCTACTTCAGGTGGTGTTAAAACCCAGAGCACATTTATCAGTAGTATTACACACAACAATCTTACATTTATATCATAATACAGAAATTTTCTCGGGATAAGTCTGTCTCTTTCATACTGTAACACTCAAATTCTGTACTTAAAATCAATATTTTTAGCCACTGGCAAATTTCAAATTGGTGAGAAAATGAAGATTTTGATATAAAGGTGTAGATTTCTCTGTATAGATATTTATTAACCCAGTATTATCCCTTTTGTGTCCTGTAGATGTCATATTTAGAGTGTATTTATTGAAAATTTGACCAATTGGTTTCCTGGGATTGGACATGAAAAAAAAAAAACGTGTTTATCTTTTTACTAAGCAGTGATTGGTCGGTACACTTCTGATCAATTGCCTAACCTATCTTTACAAAAATCAGTCCCAGGTAACCAAGGATTGTTATTATATAGACTTTAGTTATATTGTAATACATATAGACTTATTGTTCTTAGCCTGTTCACTTCTTAAATATTCTCCCTCTTTATTTCATGTTTTTCATAGATTTCTGTGTAATTTAGTTTCATTTATTTTAGAAACAACTTCAAGATCAAACGTGTTCGGTAATAACTTGTTATCAGTATCTGTTGTATAATATGTTGTATTAACCACGTTATTACTTGCTTCAGACATTTTTATATACATTCATATACAGCAAATCTTAAAGTGAATTTGATGATTTTGATATTTTAATGTTAGACATGAAAAACAAGTAATCCTTTTGGCTAGAAAAGAATATCTTAGTTTTGAATATATATTTAAATGTTAATAAATATGTCTGGTATTTGTATTCTATGGTGTTGGTTGAACATATATTAATGGTTGCTGTGTGCCACCATCCTTTTGCAACAATCTGATTAAAATACAGATCTATATTTGGTTTCATTTTTTTACACTTTCGATGGCCTTCATCTGACCAGTTGTACTGGGAGGTCACGTCCAGGGTCATACGAGCGACTTGGACGTTTCTAGGAGGTTTACCCACAATTCCGTGCTGAGCACAGCAAGAACTGGCCGTAACAGACCGTTTCATGGCTACTTCCTCATATCAACTAGAACGCCTGTTATATAACAACTCTTCCAGATCCTAGTGTTGTGAAGACAAGTTGAACAAAATTTTGAACTATAAAAAACGAAACGAAATAGGATCTATGTTTTAATTAGATTGCTTTTGCAATAAATTTTCAGATATCAGGTTATACATATAATTAATTATTGTTTTTAAGTTGGTGTCATTGGTAAATGTAATAGTTTAATTTAAATACATACTTAAATTGTTAAAAATTCTTAATTACTACTATGTCGAGGAGACACAGTAGCTCAGTGACTGTGGTGCTTGCTTGTGAAACATGAGATCTGTGGTTCGATCCTGCTGATGGCTGCGAAAGCTACCCAGAATTTTCCAGCAGCAGTTTTCCCTGGTCAGTGGAGGAGCATCTAGTTGTTCCAATGACAAAAAAAAGGTTCTGTGACATCTTGATGTTTGCATAAAAGAATCCTTGTCAGTAGAAATTCAATTCCTGTCCAGGCAAAATGTCTCCAATAGTATATGCTTGTCTTCGTTACCCAAGTGGGGTAGAAAATTAGGGCTTAAAGCCTATTTCATTCATTTAATCATAAATCATACCCTGTCTATAAACCATATATATACTGCTTGCTTATCTATTGGCTTGTAGCAAAATAGTAAGTAATGTACATATATTCAAATAATAATAGTGATGGATTATATAATGAGAAATGAAACGTATAGTTTCCTTAAATTTAAATATATGTTAACCATTATTTATTATTAATTATTCATAGTAGATTTACATGTTTAACAATTAACACTAATTATATTAAAACATTATGCACAATATATTTGGCACCCAAACTCCTGAAACATTATTGATGTTATTTGGAAACCTTGATAATATTCACCAAATTGTCACTAGCTATAACAACATTAACAAAACAATCAAGATTTTAGACGTCATGATCATATTTCTTGTCCAGAGGAGAGATTTATAGGTTGTCTTTATTAGATTTAAGCGTAATGAAATTGTTTTAATGTCAACTTAAAACTTTACTATCAAACAACAAATAAATGGTACGGTATGTGATATGCTTGTCTGTCATTTCGTCTTCTACTTCTTCTTGCTGTACAGAGGCTACTTCTTAAACAGGATACTGTGAAGTTAAAATATATTAAATTTGGTGTCTGATTATTTCAGGAAGTGTATGAATATTTAGATAAAGCATCTTTAATTAATGCCATGATAACAACCTACAAAGATTTACAGGTGAGTTAATTATATTTGTGATGCACAATAACATGTAAATATATAAAGCTGTAACTTTTTGTGTTCCATTTAATTGACTACTTCGGATCTTCATCGTTTCGGATTCACTAACAGGAAGTCCTGAATTCAAGGACTGAGGTTGGCCAAGAAGGATCCTTTAGAATTTCCAATGTGGTTTCCCCTTGTCAGTGATGCAAGATGGAGGGCTTTCCAAGGAACACCAACATATAAGCTTACGTTGGCTAGTTGCAATGTGTGAAGTAGGCAGAAGTGCTTCTGTCCGGGCAAAACTTCCCTCTCATATATAACATTTCATTTTCTTCTACATACATATTTTGTGTATATTTTAATTTTAGTCGACTAATAAAGAATGTCAAGATAATGAAGGGTTGTTAACATCGGTGGGTTTCATGTATCATCATTTATTATGTCGTAGAATTGATCTTCATGGTGGTGCTGAGCTGGAAGGTGAGAAATTTACTTTCTACATTTTGCTGTTGAAACCCCAAAACATTGTAAAAGTTCTTGATCTTAATTACCTGGTTGTCGAATTTTAAAAAAAAATTGGTTATTACCTGGTTGTCGAATATATATAAATTGTATATTTTTTGTAGAACATTTAAAGACTGATGATGCTAAGACAGCATGGACATATTTTTCTAACAGTTCTCTATCAATAGAGATTATAAAGGATGATATATTACAAAAAATTTACTTTATGGTTAAAGATAAGGTAAGTTGAGGTTGCTTTGAAATTTGAAATGAAATGAAGCATGGTTTAACTTTCTATTTTTCTGCTCCATCCAGGCTAATAAAGAGAGGCATACTCAGTTTACTATAAGGGAAATACACAGACAGCTGTACAGGGTTCTTTTATGTGCATGCCAATGTGTGCAGAGGAACTCTGTTTTTTTGTCCCATCCTAAACAAACTAGACTCTTAGTCTTGCAAGTCTTTGTGGAGATTTTATAAATACTGCCAATTAAAGATTAGACTTGTTTTTAGGATGGGGTTGGGTGGTAAAGTGGTCTATTGTGTGTGCTTTAGACCATATTAAGATACCAATAAGTGGTGTGGTTTTGATTCTTACCTAGTATGTGACAAGGGGTAGGGTTGCCTGTCAAAAATTATGTGTTTTCTCTGGATGCTCTTGTTTCCAACCACTGATAAAGATCTCTTCGAGCAAGCAAGTATTGAAATAAAGTTGTACCATATGTTGGTCCCCAAATTATCTAGTTTGTGTCAGGTGGACATTAAACCTCACTTCTCTCTGTCAATCTATTCATCTGGTTTATTTGATATTTTGTGATTATCTTACAGAATGTTCTTCGTGAAGAAATCAAAGACAAGTTCAAATATGAAGTTGATCGTACCAGTCCCAGCAATAAATTACGAGATTTTATGGAATGGTCAAGTGATATTATTGATGATATTCGATACCAAAGAAAAATTAATTCCATTCCGTTAGCTAGATTCATTGTTAAAATATGGTAAGCACACAATCAGTAGATGATAACAATTATAACAAACTTCAAATACCTGAACATGATTTGAGCAATAGGAGGAATCCTTTGCAAACTACAATGTTCTAAAAGATGAATTTCTAATAGGAATATCAGTCCAAAAATGGTTCAATTCCGTTCACTATTTATAAAGATAATGATGAAGTGAAATTCCCTTATGTATATGTATCCACTCTAGGAGGTTATGTAGCATTGATACATTGATATTAATTTCTTAATTAAATGTTGAACGATCAATCCGAGTACATATTAGAGCAGATTAAGCCATGAGAAATTTTATATGTTCGGAAATATTGCAAACCACCCAACATTCTTTAAAATAACCAGATTCAATTAACTGAATAAAGCCCACTTAGTATAGGTTCAGAAATTATATCATTATGAATAAAGTAATACTGTTTGTATATACATTATGTTCAGGAATTATATGAATAAAGTAATACTGTTTGTATGTACGTATGTTCAGGAATTATACAAATAAAATAATACTGTTTGTATGTATAGAAACAAGAATTATATGAATAAAGTAATGTTGTTTATATTTATAAAAACAAGAATTATATGAATAAAGTAATACTGTTTGTATGTGTTTTTGTGTACATGTATTACATCTGTATTTGTATTTCAGGCCTTATTTAAATGTGATAGCATTATTATTATCGGTTATAATAGCTGTGATGATATTGATAACATGGAAGGCTTCTGGCATTGTGTCTGAGTAAGTCTATTTTACCTGTTAATTTGTTATTTGTGAAATAAGTAATAACTTCATAGTACAATTTTAAGTCTTGCCTCATTTTACCTTGTGGTGCAGGGCCCCCAATGGAGTCTAAGTGCCACTCACATTCTTTCTGTTCATCTCTTGTGGACAGTTCATTTGAAATCTTATTTCTCTGCAATTTGCAAACAGAGCTGGGTGAAACTTAAAGCATACACATTTTGATATCCTGCATTCAGGTGCTGAGCCAACTTCCATTTTGACCATTCATCTTTCAAATGCTGTTTCTTAGCCCTTTATAACCAGAAGCGGATGTTCATAACCACAATTTGATGATGCTCGTTGGACACCTTGCTGAGAGTTGAACTTATTAAAATAAAACTAGGATTTTAATTATGTAATGTTATCATTTAGAAAGAAATGGGTTTTAATTTCAGTGCTGTACCTGATACAAGTGATTACCCATTTACAACAGAGGCCACTTATATTCTGGGTGGCATGCATAACCTAGTTTCACTTCTCATGTTTATAAGTTATCTATTATCAAATCATCCGATATTACCACATTGGACAGATTTTACAGCCATGTTCAAGTAAGTAGCTATTGCATATAATGGTCCTATTCAAATGAACAAGTCAATTTTAAAAAAGAGAGAGAAATGGGGTTTAACGTCAATTCAACACAAACTAGGTCATTTGGGGACTAACACATGGTTCAATTTTATTTCTATTATTCGCTTGCACCTATGTGTCTTTAGCAGTGGGAGGAAACCGAGGAATCGAAACCACGCTACTTGACTCAATAATAGACTTTGTGATTGCATGTGTTAAACCACTAAGACCACCCAATCCCTTATATATCTAGTTTTTAGGTACTGGTAACCTTTTGGATTTTACTGATAAAAATGAAGTCAATTTCCTTAATTTGGAAAGTTTTGTGCTTTTCCATCAACCGGAGACAATTTGGCATTAATTGTGCTGTTAGATTTGTAGGCAAACTGTTTACTTGGAGATGCGGGCATTAAGCCTATTTTAAGTAATATATTTATAAATGAAATAATTATAACCCTGATATACAAAGTGTACTAGACTATGAATATAATTGAATTGCCAAAGTAGGACATTTAAAGTGTGTATGTTTATTAATTAATTACATGTTGTTTCTGTAGAAGGAAGAAAGAAGGGGATGTAGATAAGAAGAAATCTGAATCACATCTTCATGTTAAACTGCTTAGTTTTACAACATTTTACTATCTTGTAAGTTGCTTATATTACAATTATTTTATCGAAATCAGTTTTATACTGCTCTGTTCTGACTGGTTTGATCAAAAACTTAAATCAACATGTCTTATTGTTTTGTTTTCATCTCTTTAAAGGGCTGAATTCCTACTTTTTACAAATCGTACCTGGACCATAGACAACACTGATTTCAAAATGCTCATTTGTCTTCATTGGAGACTCTTAAATATTGTATATCAGGAGCCCATATTTTCACGGTAATGGACGAAGTTAATTTCTAATTTGTGTTTTTAAAGTGAAAGATTATGGATAATATTGAGTTACACTTCACTACATTTAACTTGTAAGATTGTTCAAAATATTAATTTGTATTTTTTTCCAGGCATTTTTAATATTTTCTGTGGCAGGAACTGTTTTCCATGGTTATTTCTTTTCGTTCCATCTTCTACACATGGCGAAGTTAAATCAACTGTTGATTCGAGTTACTCAAGCTGTTACTAGGAATGGTATGTATCAATTCAAGCATGTGAAGAAAGTAATTAAGACAATTGTTCTTAAATTGGCAGAGCCTTAGTGTTTTTTTTCGGAGCGTGTCGACCCCATGAAGAACAAGATGTTTAGTGCTTGGGGTCCAGTTCTAACACTAAAAAAAGTTCTATTTGGGATTTTCATAATCGTTATGAATGATATATCTGGGCGGTCATTCATTCAGATTTAACAAGTCTGTGAAAAGCTGTTGAAATTTTCTTGTCAGGTCCTATTGCCAAGGGTGGTATAAGCTGGGAATTGTTTGGATAAATTATATTAATTTAGTACTGCATCTGAGGAGTTGGAATTTATGAACATGTGGCGTGCAGAAATTCTTCTTCATTAGAATCCACTTTTATTAAACTGAAATACTGTTGCTTTGTTGATGTATTTGTCAAAGAAATAACATTAGAATAATAGATCACATGTTATTCTCAAAATAACCAACCTTAGTAAATCTTTCATTTTTCAATATTTATTTTTACAGGATTGTCTTTGATATTGGTTGGTTTAATGGGTCTGGCTATCATATATATACATGCCCTGGCTGCCTTTGCTTTTTTCCGTGACATGTTAGACAGTAATGAAGGAAGACAATGTGATACTATGTTTCAATGTTTTATTACTGTTATACATCATGGTCTCTCAGATGGAATGTATAATGTAAGTATTTAGAATTCTTGAAACTGGTGAAATATAAAAAAAACTTATTGCAGTGGAATCAAGGTTTACCTATAGTAATTTGTCAGTATGTCTGCTTTATTAACCTTCATTTGTGTAGCCAAATATGTACCTAATTACTTATCTCTCAATTAAATTGTTGAACTCAAGAAATCCCCTGCATTTTCGATGCAGTTATTAAAGAGTAATTGCATATATGAGGTGAATATTTTTGATGGATTTGTTTGTTTGTTTGTAGAAGTGCATGTCATACACATAAGAATGTTTGGCAGAGATGATTAAAATGTTGGTATATAATAATATTTATAAATAATAATTTTTTTATCTAGCATACAAAAACATTAAAATCTTTCTATTTCAGACATTTGAACAGATGCTTACTGGTAAATCATTTGCGGTTTCTGCAGGTGTAGCTGCCTATGATGTCATCTTCTTCATAATTGTTACAACCATTGGTCTGAACATTATCTTTGGTATCATTGTCGACACCTTCTCTGAATTGAGAGATTCAAAGGTAAGGATGATTGTACTGTATAATATATGTTGATACATGAGGACAATCATGTAATTAAGTTTTACCACGTGTTCATGAAAGTGTAAGCATAACCTGCCTCTTGTGTGACACCTGCCACAGCCTTTAAATATGATAAATCTGAAACATTAGGTGCGGCAGATATATTAGTAACATCAGCAGATTTGAATATTAAGTGATCGGAAATAGAAACAGTTTTATGAGGATGCATATAGATAGACAGTTAAACTATATACACATCATATCATAAACAAGCTATCTGTCATTAATTGTCATGTTCAGATGTTATAATGTAATGTCTTGATGAATTAAACAGCAAAATTAAATTATTTCTATTTTTTTATTTCCAGTGGCAAATTGATAATGATATGAAGTCTAATTGTTTCATATGTAGTAGAGAAAATTATGATTTTGAAAGACAAGGAAATGTAAGTTTTTTTAAATTATGGTATGGTATAGAATGATATTCAATCAATGGAACTGCCTAAATAGACAGTCAATTTTTCAACTAGATGTATTATCAGTTTACTGTCTATAAGAATTGGTTGATTAGTCACTGGCTGGCTAGCATGGAGATTCCGGATTTGATCCTGGGTTTGATCCCGATGTTGGTCGAGAAAGTTTCACATGATTTTCCAGGCTATGGTTTCCCCCATGTCAATAGTGCATGAAGGATGGTCTGACAAGGGACAGTGTCAAGTTGTTGGGATAGGAGGTCCTGTTTTCATGTTTTGGTGCATGTAAAAGAACCCGACAGTTGAAATCTGAAATAGGAGTAGGTCTTATAGTACCACTGTCGGGACAAAATTTCCCTCATAATACAGTTCATGGCATATGTCCGTCTTTAATAGCCCAGATGGAGCCGAAAAGTAGGACATTAATCCTCATTTCATTTCTATGTGAAATTCATAGCTAATAAATCTAGCAAAAAGATTTAGTGGGGTCAAGAAATAACAACCGATCCCTAAGTCAAGCTGGCATACAATAATTATAAGCTGGCTGACAATACGTTGGGTTGCAAGTTCGTGATACCCTGACATTTTTGTCCAGTGCTTGTCCCATGGAGGTTTTTTCTAGTAAGATTGGGTATCTATACTTTACATATATACCAAATTTACCATACTTTTATTGGTTATAGCCACCCGATAAATACTTTTGTGGAAATGCATTTTTAATTTAATTTTATTTTTTTCAGGGGTTTGAACACCATGTAAAAAAAGAACACAATCAATGGGCTTATTTATTCTTTTTTATTCATTTGGAAGAAACTCGACCCAATGATTATTCTGCATTAGAACTCTATGTGAACAATCTGGTTAGTAATTCATTCATAATTATTTTGTAAATCTAATAATTTCTCATTTTAACTACATGGATTGAATGTAAGGGCTGGGGATATGCTTACTTTTCTTGTATTTTGATTGTATATGGTCTTAAACTCTATATTTAACCTTAAATTCTGCCATTTTGTGGCATGGATTGACTTGAACCATTGAGAAAATTTTCCCTTTGTATTTCATTAGCCCGGTCAGAGCAGAACAGTAGGACGTTAAACCCCATTTCATTTCATTTCATATTACAGCGAGTAAGAGAGAGCTTTGAATTTTTCCCAATGAATCGAGCGTTGAGTTTACAACATGAAGAAGATAGCAGTGCCAAAAAATTGGAAACGCTGATGAGTCAAGTGGATTATTTAGTGAATAAAATGAAAGCTACGGTAAGAAAATAGTAAACGTCTAGTTCAACATTTACGCCCTGTTGGAATCCTATCACATACAGATAGAGCTATGTTCCTGTTTGAGAACTGTTAAACATGCACAAAATACAAAACTAATAGTATAGAAATACTACACTTACAATATCATGTCATGGAGAATTGCAAAGCACAGGAACATAAATAAAATTTAATGTAAAGATAGATATAAAAAGGTTAGGAAATATGGGCCTGTACACATACACTTTCCCTACTGTTTCTACGGCCTGTCATTGAGTCAACTAGCGTGGTTTCGAATCCCCGGTTGTACGTGACAAGGAGTAGGGTCGCCTGTCCAACCTCGTGGGTTTTCTCCGGTCCCAGGGGCGTAAATGTGGGTGGGTGTGAGGGGGTGGTACACCCCCCCAGGAAAAAAAATAGTCGGTCGCAAAATCAGTGCAGTCTGTCGCAAAATAAGAGCAGTCGGTATCAAAATAAGTGCTCACTGCACACATCACGCTACTCACGCAAAACTTCAGTATAAAATAACCTTGTCAACTTATCATGTTTGAAAAAATGTTGTGTTTCACTCTTATTCTGTTGTGAGTATGTAGGTCCAAGAAGAAAATTTCCCCCAGGGAGAAAAATAGTCGGTCTCAAAATAAGTGCAGTCACTGCAGTCGGTCTCAAAATTATGCGTCGCCGTCTTAATGAATTAATGAGGTAAACAAATAATGCCAGAATAGATCCCAAATACTAGTCAGTCGCAAGATCAGTGCAGTCGGTCGTAAGATATGAGCAGTCGGTATCAGAATAAGTGCTCACTGCACACGTCACTCTACTCACGCAAAACTTTAGTATAAAATAACCTTGTCGACTTATCATGTTTGAAAAAAATGTTTTTCACCCCATGGCATAAAAAATAGTCGGTCTCAAAAAAAGTGCTCACCGCAGTCGGTCCCAGACTAAATGAATTAATGGGGTGTTTTCTGACCATCAGAATTCTGCAAAATCTCTCCCTAAAGTCCAGGGCATTTCAGAGACCAAGTAAGCGCCCCATTGAGGTAAAGTGCCCTCAGACCCAGTCCTCAAAATTAAAAGCTCAGTTAGATATCGGCGCTCAATTCCATTATGCCATCATTCTTCAACTCCTTCTCTGTCTTATACTATCTCATCACTGTCATATTCACAGTTACAGTGAATCACCCAGTTAGTAGTACCACTAGTGAGTGAGTCGTGGGTCAAAAGATCGTAGAATTGTTAATTCTACTCTCACAAAACAGGCGACATTGACAAATAGGCCTCAAGATTCTGTCCCATTTCTTATCCTCTCGTTAATGAGAATTTGCCATGACATTGACTAAAATTGTCAGGCCCAGTCCCGAAAATTAAAAGCTCGGTTACACATCTGAAATTTTTTTGCACCTGCGGCGCTCGATTCCATTATAACATCATTCTTCCACTCCTCTGTTGTCTTATACTGTCTCAGCACTATCATATTCAGGGTTATACTGAACTGCCTAGTTATGTTAGTAGTACCACTGGCACTGGTGTGTGGGTCGTGGGGCATCAGACTATACAAAAGTTCTGTCAACTCTTGCAAAACAGGCGGAATTGACAGGGGCGGATCTCGAGATTTTGTCTAATTGACTCACATTTCTGGTCCTCTCGTCCACAAGAATTTCTCCCAGCAATGACCTCAAATGCCAAGATATTGACTCAATTTTTCAAAATTTTCTAAGGTTGCTCAGTGTTATAGGCACAATCATGACATAAACTTTATGTCAACTTAAATAAAACTGCTTTCCAGAGAGACAACGATCGGCAAACAACTATACCGGGACGCTTAATGTTATAGCCAGTATTTTGTTGACATTCATTGTGGCTGGGGTGGCGCCCTAGATTTCCCCCCCCCTCCTACCCCTATCTAGATCCGCTACTGCACATGGCCCCTACAAAACTCACACCTGTGGTGCTCGGCTCCTGACTGCGTCATTCGTACTAGGGGTATGGGCAACAGTCGGTCGCATTTTGGCTAAACACCCCCCCAAACAAAATCGTTATGTACGCCCCTGTCCGGTCCTCCGGTTTCCTCCCACTGCTAAAGACCCCTAAGCGCAAGCGAATTATTGAAATAAAATTAAACCATATGTTAGTCCCGAAATGACCTAGTTTGTGTCGAGTGAACGTTAAACCCTATTTCTCTCTCTCTCTCTCTCCCTACTGTTTACACCCCTACTGTTCAGAATTCCTGTACTAGTACATGCTATTTTGGTATCCTCTGATAGCTTTATTGACACTCAGCTATCCTTTACTATGTGCACACACCCACTTTCCAGAATTCCTTTAACTATACATGCAATTACGGTATTCCTTGATAGCTTTATAGCAATGCATGTATTTTCCTAAGAATAGTATTTTAGTAATAATATATTTAATTGATAAAACTAATTTTTATTGTCTAAAGACAGTTTACAATTTTTTGGCAATAAAAACCTGACAAGCTTTTCTTTTTCAACAGGAGGCAGAAAAAGAAAGAGATAAAGAAAAACAGCGACAAAAGGAATGGGAAAAAAAGCATATTAAATGTGAATAAATTGTGCTGAAATGTTTGTGATGACTTTTTGAGTTGTGGAGAGACATTGAAAACAATCTCTTTAAAAATCTGTGATATGAAATGACTCTACAAGAAATTATTGTAGATATTATATGATGACTTTTAAAAAAACTTTGTATCAAAGAGTATAACTATTGTTATTTGTTCACATAATTTATTTTTTGTTACAAATATTTATCTGTTGTTTTTTTTTTAATATTTATTTTTACAGTTGTAAATATTTTCGTGTCATTTCATACATTTTGTAATATTCCTTGAGTTCCATCTATTATGTGATGTGCATTTTTGTGAATATGAAATTGCTTTTGATTTAGATTTTTATATGGTATTTTTATAGCCTATTGTATTTTTATAGAGATTATTTCATAAATCATTATAACATGTAACTAAATCTAAAGTGACTTTAACACAAAATATGAAGTTAATTCCCTAATTTCTTTTACATAATAATATGTTGATTTAGTGCATTGTTAAAGAAATGGAACATGCTTTTGAAGTAATAAAGAAGTTTCTTTGACTCAGAAAATCTGAATACACTAATACTATTCCATTCAAAGAGGTTTTAAATAAGACTTTTGATTCTTTTTATTATAAAATTTTTAAATGTCCATCCTTAATTTTGCCTGTAAAATAATACCGATAATTGCCTTTGTGATAGTTTTAATAAGAAATTCTGTACATATATTATATCTTGCCTGAATTATAATATGATATTTTTTTAAATATAAAATTTTAACAAAGGGTACTTAAAGATCCATTGAAAACCTAAGGTCATGTTTTGATACTACTGACAGTGTAAAAGTATAATACATTTAGCTTTTGTTTTTGTAGTACAATTTTTATTCTTTAGAAATGTTTGCTTTGATGAAGATTTAAATGGTAATCTTGATTTATAAAAATGCCAATAATAAAAAAAATATGGCAATACTGTTTTTTTTAAGACATAGATATTACTTTATTGTGAAGAGAAATTAATCATTCAGAAACTAGGAATATCACTAATGCTGGCCATTTTGTCATTTGAAAATATAAACATTATTATTTATCCAATACGTAGGCTTAGAAGTCTTTGGTTGGTTTCGAACACCAGTGTCAGTTGATGAGAGCTTTTGAATTTTCAGATTTGGTTCTACTAACAAAGCTTGCCAAAACTGGCACCAGTTAGGTTAAGGAAAGTGTGTCTGGATAATGCAAAAAGCACATAGAAGGTTCCTTTTCAGTTGGATCAATATTAAGACGAGTATGAGGCCCTGGCAAAACTCGATCTCACATTGCAAGGTAGCCATAGAACAAAATTAGCTTACTTTAGTCTCAAAGTGACCTAATTAAAGTGTATTGGTTTCATATCTACATGAAATATATTTTTTGATTTAATAAAACATTTTAAAAGCTATTTTGAGAACTTAATTATTTGAACACCTGTATTCTTAAACTGCCATGTACAAATATTTTCATAAAATGATTTTACAAAGAGTAAACCACTGCCAGAGTGACTTTTGCCACTTCGTACTCAAAAAAAATAATACTCCCCTTTTAAATCCTTTTAAAAAAGGTGGCCTCTATCGCGTTAGCAAGGTTTTGGGAAAAGGGGAGGGAACCCCAGAACGGAATGTCGCGGAACGCTAAATATTGATAGGCTTAGTCCTGTTATGAAGATAAACGAAACGCTGAAAATAAATATGTTTCCTTCTCTCATAACCCGAATGCTTCAAACCAAATTGGGAAAACAATCCCTTAAAGTCAAGGAGTGACTTGAGAGATACTCGAATCCCCTGTAAACTATACTATTGTAAACGCTGAATCTCAGTCCAAAATTGGTTCAATTCCGTTCAGTATTTATAATTATATAGATATGAAGTGAAATTCCACAAATCAATGCTACTAATATGTAAATGTATATACTGGACTAAATAAAATCTGCCAACAAAACATTTGTACATTGAATTGTCCAACATTTTCCAATCTACGGTAGTCTAATCTCCTGTAATAGCTGCATGTAAGTCAAATTTTGGTGAAATCGAGTTTGAACTTACTAGGTTTTTGTCCGAATTACCCAAGGCATCAAATTATCGTCATCCAAACCCAGACAGCACAGCATATTTGGCCCAGATCTGGCAACATGTGGCAAAATGATTGGGCCGGATATGGCATGCCACATGTGGGCCAGATCTGGCAGACATGGGCCAGACGTGGCCCAATCAGAGCCAGATCTGGCCCAGATTCGCTAATGCACACGCTCGCCTTGCATGGCCCAGATCTGGCACACTGGCAGGCTTTGGCAAAGATATGGCATGCCACGTGTGGGCCAGAAATGGCACAATTGGCCCTTGTCTGGGCCATCACTGGCCCAAATGTGGCCCACAGATGAAATTCATACCATGCTAGATGTGGGCCAAATAGGGCAACCCGTTATTCCCTGTCCTATTCCTCCTTCGTAAACCGAGGGGCATGGCCATGGTCTAGTGGTTTAACACTTGCTTGTGAAATTAAAAGGTCGTTCCTCCAGTCAAGTGGCGTGGTTGCGAATCCCTGCTTGCATGTGACAAGGACTGAAGGAGTAGGGTAGCCTGTCCAACTTCGTCAGTTATCTCTGGGAACTATATTGAAATAGGGTTGAACCATATGTTAGTCCCAAAATGATAGTAGAAATTAAGGATATCTTGCATGCAGCACAAACAACATACATTAACAACAAAAGCAAAATCTTAAATAATAAATTTATTCATCCATATAACACAGCACAGTTCTGTGGATAACAGTCACTATATTATATACACACAACGTTTCGACAAGATTTCACTGTTCGTTATAAGGCATACAAATTATCCATGTCAATATCATTCTCCCCTTCTTCATTCTGCAGCTATCTCCTCCTCCTCTTCCCCGTGTTTTTGTTCTTCCCCCATTCAACCATTTTGTTTACAACATTTTTGAAATTATTTTCCATTGCATCTATAGTGGTGAAGTTATTTATCACACCTGCAATAAATGCAAAAAATGTACATAAAAAACATGTTTTTCCTTCTTTATATCAAGCATGACCAAGGGGTCTGTCAATGCAAGTACATGTAACAAAGTATTAAGTCAAATAATTCTTATTTGCCAAGGCAAAAGAATAGTTAATTAAATGAAGTTATTTATAATGAGGGGGGGGGGTTGGATGGCTGAATGGTTAGCGTGCGCGCTCTGTATCATAAAGTCTGTCATTGAGTCGACTGGCGTGGTTTCGAATCCCCGGCATACGTGGCAAGGAGTAGGGTCGCCTGTCCAACCTCGTGGGTTTTCTCCGGGTCCTCCGGTTTCCTCCCACTGCTAAAGACCCATACGCGCAAGCGAATTATTGAAATAAAATTAAAACCATATGTTAGTCCCGAAATGACCTAGTTTGTGTCGAGTGGACGTTAAACCCCATTTCTCTCTCTCTCTATTTATAATGAAATCACATAAATCTATCTAATTTAATATTATTGTAGAGAAAGTAATAAAATGTACTTATATTTTTATCTTTAACTAAATTCTGTGAAAATAATGCACAGTTTTGTACCACTGCAATGTCTTCAGTTTCTTGTTAGTACTAAATTCTATTAAGTTGTTTTACACTGAATTTTACAATTTTAAATTCAGCAAATGACCAAACAGATTTCAAGATAGTAAATGGGCTGTTCATTATGCTTTGTTGAAAGATTTACATGGTTGACCTGCTAGCTTCAACAAATTGTATAATCTGAGTACAGAATCTACTATAGTAATTAAAATCTAACTACTTTGTAGCATGATACCCAACACTCAGGCTGTGTTCAAATAAACTTTGTCTTTATTTCATTGACTTCTTTCAAGAATAATTTATTATTTTTGCTTTAAAGATTTACATTTACTGGCTTTTGGGGGAGGGTGGGGTGAGAGGATTCCATTTATATTATATACAGTACCCGGTACATTAAAAAAATATTATTTTAAGACTTTAATATTTATTTGTAATAAAACTAATATAGAACAAGGGAAAATTCTACTGGAAACTAGATGTCATATTCTGAGCCGAAATTTATTGTGTTGATATTTTGAGGCATTTGGCCAGTTGGATGTCGGCCATCTCTGGCCCAGATATGGCAAACTTTTCGCATAATATTATTTTTTCAAATGCTTTGAATATAAAACAAAAAATTTAAAACTGTTAAACAAACTGACAAGATATTCTTAGATACCAGTTACAAAAATAAGTTTAATTCAGTAGTGAGCCAATAGTTGCCAAGTGTTAGCCAGATATGGCCCACATCTGCCAACATCTGGCTGGATATGGGCCACATCCAGGCAGATGCTGCCAGATGTGGGCCACACTTGGGCCAAAGCTGAATGGCTGTCTGGGAAGCGCCAAAATAAAACTTTTTTTATATTTAATAGCTTAATCCTGAAACATAACAGTTTTCCTCTGCTTTTCTCAAATCTGCATTCAACAGATTTCCTAGGTTTTTATACGCCCACATGTAAATGTGGTCGTATTTTGTCGTCGCCCCCGTCCGTCCGTCCACAATTTCTTGTGAACACTCTACAGACTACATTTATCATCTGATTGTTTTGAAATTGATATAAATTATGTTGTTTGCATAAGTGAGATGAAGAAGCCTATTTAATTTCAATAACTTCCGTTAATTTCTTCTGGAGTTATGCCCTTGTTTCACCTTGTTGCACCTTGTGAACGCTCTAACGACAAAAGTTATCAACCGATCTGTATGAAATTTATATGCATCATTTCAATTAGTAAAACAAAGAATCCTATTGAATTTCAGCAATTTCTGTTAATTACATCTAGAGTTATGGCCCTTGTTTCACTTTGTTGAATCTTGTGAACGCTCTAATGACACCAGTTATCATCCGATCTGTATGAAATTTATATGCATCATTTAAATTAGTGAAACGAAAAAGTCTATTGAATTTCAGCAATGTCCGTTAATTACGTCTAGAGTTATGGCCTTTGTTTCACTTTGTTGTACCTAGTGAATGCTCTAACGACAAAAGTTTTCAACTGATCTGTATGAAATTTATATGCATCATTTAAATTAGTAAAACAAAGAATCATATTGAATTTCAGCAATTTCCGATAATTACATCTAGAGTTATGGCCCTTGTTTCACTTTGTTGAATCTTGTCAACGCTCTATTATGACAAATTAGTAAAACAAAGAATCATATTGAATTTCAGCAATTTCCGATAATTACATCTAGAGTTATGGCCCTTGTTTCACTTTGTTGAATCTTGTCAACGCTCTATTATGACAACAGTTATCATCCGATCTGTATGAAATTTATATGCATCATGTAGATTAGTGAAACGAAAAAGACTTGAATTTCAGCAAATTTATGGCCCTTGTTTCACTTTGTTGTACCTTGTGAATGCTCTAACGACCAAAGGTATCAACCGATCTGTATGAAATTTATATATATCTTTTTTAATTAGTAAAATGAACAAGCCTATTCAGTTTCAGCAAATTTCCGTTAATTACATGTAGAGTTATGACCCTTGTTTTACTTTGTTGAATCTTGTGAACGCTCGAACGACAAAAGTTATCACCCAATGTAGAGTTATGGCCCTTGTTTTACTTTGGTGAATCTTGTGAACGCTCGAACGACAAAAGTTATCACCCAATCTGTATGAAATTCATATGCATCATTTAAATTAGTGAAATGAAGTCTATTGAATTTCAACAAATTCCGTCAATTACTTCTAGAGTTATGGCCCTGTAGATTACTTTCTGAGTTACGACCCATGTTTTAGTTTTTAGAACCTTGTGGACCCTCAAACGACGAAAATTATTATGTTATCTGTATGAAATTGTCTATTAAATGCCCCTAATTACTTACAAAAGAATAAATATGCGACAACCCCTGTTGACCGCCGGACGATTTAGCTGCTGTGGACGTATGTTTTGTTGCCTGGCAACCTATCTTTCTAGATCAGATGCAAGGGTTTATATTGTCGGATGGTATTATAACACACCAACCACGAACTTTGTTTCCCAGAAATCTAATTGATTGGTCAGTTGTAATCCGATTAAATTCAAATTATATGACACTGATATTTTGATTTTGTTAAGTTAATTAACTGTTAAATAACCAACCTGAGAACATATTAGCGTGGAATAAGCCTTGAGGAATTTGATATTTTTCGAAAAATGCAGAACGCTCACCGTTATTTTAAAAACTATACCCGCTATTGCGTTAACAGGATTTTCGGAAGAAGTTCGAGTAAGTTCATGGAACGCTGAATATCGACCGGGCCCACCCTACTGTGATCTCGATGCTTTACACCAAATTTGAAAAATACAAATCTCTTAAAAATTGTATTCTCTATGGCATGAACGGGGAACGGAAGATTACGGACGGCTGGATATTGATAGGC